GGAATCCGGCGTCATCCGCTTCCAACTGGAACCTAACACTCTCTGGCTTACTTCCTATTAGATACCTACTTCCTACAGTTAGACTAATCTGACACAACTAATTGACTAGCCCGTCGACGGACCTCGGAGGGTTCCATGGCTTTCCCCTATAAGGAGAAAATAAACTGAGACAGAAAAAGAAAAAGAAAATAAGTTCGGACCGTGCACTTCCAAACTACTGCTGTTCATCCCTGTTCGTTGGCACTGGCTTGCAGTCTGACTGGCACACTGACATCGTTGTTAGCTTTCTTTTGTTTATGCTCTTCTAAGCGCGCACACTCATACCATACAAGTTCGTTCATCCTTCTTTGTGAAATCGTTGTTCTGTCTCGAACTCAACGAGACCGGCGAGTTCCAGGCCATGTACTAGACCCTCGATCTGGCGAGACACCTTACTTGATGAGTTCTCCAACATGGATCTGAAATTCGTGTATTACATAGGGACATAGTTCCACAGTACATCGGTTTATAATGATGCACCCCTTCTTCGTCCTTCCTTCATTCCTTCATTCAATGCTTTCCTCAAAATTAGCGTTCGGAGACAGTCATACGGCCGCAGTTGATGGTTTCATAGTTTGGCCCGTTGCCGCAGTTGTTCTTGCACCTGTTTGACTCGCTCCCACGCCTTCAGCGCAAATGGATTGGTGTTCCTGGCATACTCCACCGCGCGAGCACTACTGGCCTGCCGAAGAGCAAACCGCGCCTTGATACCCTGCATGATGACCGAACTTCGCCAGGAGAAGAATGCATCCCCCCATGGGATGTCGGGCGTGGGGTCATAGCCAGAGACCTCTTGGTACCATTGGATACAGTCGGCTCGTGTGGGCAAGCCAGGGACCGCATTGGGCTGGAACTGGTCTGTCTTATGATCCGTTCCTTCCAAGAAGTATGGGCTAGTCAGATTACAGAGGTCTGACAGCGGATGACCCACCGTGGCCATCTCCCAATCCAGGATGCCGATGACACGAGGCTCGGATTTATGGAAAATCATATTATCAATCTTATAATCGCCGTGCACGAGCGTGCCCCGATCCTGAGGCTGGGTGGCCTTATCGGAAAAGAAATGCACCATGTCCATGAAATGAGGCAGCTCGCCGACCGGTTCCTTGGTCTCCACATCCACCGCTTGGGCCTGCGCGCGAGATACCGCGGTGAATGTGGCGATCTGACGATCGTAGTAGCCCGACGGTTTCCCGAAGCGTTCCAGACCAACCAGCTTGGGAACGACTCGGTGGAATTTGGCTAGGGTCCGAACCGCATCCTGCCATCTATATCATCTTAGCTTGAGGGTCGTCTTTGCCAAAGGAGAGGGACCCTGCAGAGTTCAAACAACAAGGCAATTACATACAGTGCAGTCCTTTCGGCAGGGTCGACGCCGGGCATGGCAGGGTCAGTAAAGTGGCGGCCATCAAGGAACTCCATGATGTAGAAAGGCGTGCCGATCACATCGCTATCTTCACAGAGACAGTATGCCTTGGGCACAGGCACATCTGTATGCTCCAGAGCATGAATGATCTTGTATTCACGCTCGACTTTGTGCGCCGTCTTCGAGAGCAGCTTGCCTGGCGGCTTTTTCCGCAAGACATACTTGCTGCCGTCGGCGGTTGTGAGCTGGTAAGTCGGGTTTGATTGTCCGAAACCGAACTGATGTCGAGATTAGTAATCTTCTTGATGACCCAAGATTGAATGCTAGTCAAGAGATAAGCTACCTGCTTCACATCTACCGGTGTCTTAATCTCTGGGACATTCTGATCGAGGTAGCGTTCCAAGGAGGGAACATCAATCGGTTGGCGCACGGCTCCAGCCATGGCGCGACGAGTTATTCAGATAATGAGATTGCGATAGCCGGTATGTTGACCTCGCTTTTATGCCTCTGTAGTTCGAGACAAGGGGTTGCTGTATGCTAGAAACGTGTATCATGGTTGGAAGGGCGGGCAGTCAAAGGTGGTTAAAAGGCACAGGTACACGACAGGCTCAACCGAGGCTAAGCACCACATTCCATAGGGGTTAATTTGCGGGGCGTCGGCTGTTAACTACATTTTGGGGGGAGGGGGGAAATACAGCCGCGGGAACTAATGTAGTTAGTACCCTGTTCTTAGTCATACAGATCAAACAATGCAAACTGACCCAAATGCACGCAGCAAAACCACTTAACGCGCCCGTCGCGTTTTGACCGCCAGACGCGTCCCACCATGAAAGCTCTCCTCAATCTCGCATTTCGGCGTCCGCCTCGACACACCGCAATTCTTCTTCCTCCCCCTCTTCCTCCCCACAGAAGATATAGAAGAAGCGAAGTAGTTCTTACTCATCTCTTCTCAACCTCATTCCCACAATCCCTCGACCCAATTCACAAAATAATGACCAAGGAGACCACCCCTCCTCCCCCCGCCGAAACCACCACCACCAACACAACCACCGCCCCGGCCCACGAACCTCCCTCCGCGCCCTCCTCTCCCCTCGCCAAACGCACAAAGCCCAACACCACCGCCGCAGAACAACAACCCCAGCAAACGTCCATCAACATGGGCTCCACCGCTAACCCTCTCCCCGCCCTCCTCGTCCAGAAGCTCACCCCCTCGGGTCGCGCCCCGACTCGCGGCTCCGCCTTCGCCGCCGGCTACGATCTCTACAGCGCCAAGGACACCGTCATCCCCTCCAAGGGCAAGGCCCTCGTCGACACGGGAATCGCCATCGCCGTGCCCGAGGGAACCTGTACGTGTAACCCACCACCGGATCTAGCTCAAGTCGACTAGAGGAAGAACCCCCCACTCTCCATAATCCGTTTCGAAAACACAGAACTCACACAGACTTTTCTCCCTTAGACGGCCGCATCGCGCCCCGCAGTGGTCTCGCCTCGAAGCACTTCATCGACACCGGCGCCGGCGTCATCGATGCCGACTACCGCGGCGAGGTCAAGGTGTTGTTGTTCAACTTCTCCGATGTGGATTTCGAGATCAAGGAGGGGGATCGCGTGGCGCAGTTGGTTTTGGAGCGGGTGAGTTTAAAACCCCCTTTCTTTTTACCCTTGGGAGGGACAGGGTATTCTTGAGGAAATTTTGCTAACGCGTGCGCTTCTTTTCTGTGCCAGATCTACACGCCTGAAGTGACGGTCGTGGAGAAGTTGGAGGAGAGTGTTCGTGGAGCTGGTGGTTTCGGTAGCACTGGTACCAACTGAAAAATATTGTTAATGTGAACTGATGTGATGATGATGATTTGGGAAGATCAAACAGATCTTACTCTATATGCCTGGAAAACTTGGGGCAGAAGCAGAGAAGCAAACCGCTTGGAGAGGTTTTTGCATTAAAAGATTAGACCGTGTCGATTGCGTATACCTCATCAAATAAATATAAACTTAAACCACTGCCATCATACAGTTCACGTTCTATATTTCATACTTTCCTTACCATCTAATCCTTGAATGAAAGTCTATCGTCTATAGACCTCCAAGGCCAAGCCCTGCCCATGCTAAACAACATCTATGCTCGATCTATGTAGACCCCATAACTGAATTTACAGAAAAAGCTTTCACCGGAATTGTACCGGCAGATCGTCTTTGCTCCATTCCTGCGCCGGGAATTCCACCGTCGGCTCGCGCAGGAATTGGACGTGTCGCACTACTCGCACCTCTGCGGCTTTGCTCTCGCGCAGGTGCTCTTGTTTCTTCCTTTCTTCTTCATTAAGCACGTCCCCGTTGGAGACGACCTCTGCTTGGAGCTCTGCATTACGCGCTTCCATGGTTTTCTCGAGGATACAGTGCATGCTGGCTAGGACCTTGACGGTGGATTGTGCCAATGGTAATGCCGTGGCGGGGACGTCATCGGGGGAGACCCAGGATTTGGTGGTGCGGAGGGCAGGGTCGGCGGCAAAGACGGCCTCCCGGAGCCGAGCCACCGTCAGGGCTGCGAACATGTCCCCAGTCCCGCTGAAGTAACAGTCGAGTGCAGGAACGTCCACGCGGAAAAGACGCGGGGAGCCATCAGAGCGAGTGGTGGAACCGATCACAGTGAGCGTGTTTGCGAACGACGCAGTGGATGATGCGGACGATGAGTCTGAGAGGTTGGAGATCTGAACGGATGTGATGATAACGTGGGGAACCTTGTAGGTGGCGTGGATAGCGGTGATGGCTTCTGCGAGGGTGCTGAGAGAGGTGATTTTGACTCCGGATAGGACCCTATCCATGAACATTAGGTGGCTGCTCGGATCAAGGAGCTGGGCAGAGAGAAGTCTCACTCGGCTTCGAATTGATTCGGTAGGATCAAGTCTGCGTGATGAATCATCTCCTTGTAAGCGGGGACGACATCGTTGTTAACGTAGAGTCGGCCTTGATCGCCCATGACCGGATCCAGGACTGCGAACGATTAGTTGATTCCGTCAAGGTAAATCAATGAGCTAGCGCACCCCAAAAGAATGAACCTGGGTTTTTCTCTGCTTTGCGCTGAAGATCCATCCCGATAGCCCCGACAGCCTCCACTGCGGCAGCGCTGGGGGCGTAGCCAGAGAGCATCACATCGAAGTCAGTGAGGTGGCTTTGGGTCAGGCCCTCGTAAAGCGCGGTAATCTCTTCAGCCGTTGCTCTTGTCCCCTTGAATTGCCTGTAGCCCGTGTGATTGCCTGGTAAGGTGGTCAATACTGTGCCTGGATGGTTCAATAAGAATATCGTAACAACTGACTGAAGTGCACTGTATTCAACGCGGCAACATCACAACCCAGTAGCTGCATGACCACACTGGCCATTTTATTGCCAACATATCTGTTTCCAATTAGCCTTGAGTCGGAAGAAGTGAATAGTGTTATCGTTTGTATATGCGGGGAAGAGATGAATGCGGTAGACAACATCCGTTATTCCCCACGAAATTATGACACATACCCGTAGACGACCTAGTCAGGCTAGGTCAGCTGACTATTTGAGGGTCTGTGTGCAAAAAGATGAGAGATGAGAGTCACGTACATGGCTAGCTACCGCGAGGACCCGTGTTTCGGGAACAAAGAGATCAGCGGCCATGATGAAATGAAGGAGGAACCGGTGGAGGAAGAGAGGGGGGGCAGAGGGAGGGGGAGGGGAAGGGATGGTGGGTTCAAGTTTCGATGATGGAGATATATCAATCATGGATGATGCAGTGGAAGAGATCCGCTCTGGAACTGGGCCGAGCGATAGGCGAGCAGCGGAGCCCCATTGCCGTCTTCAGCGATTGGTTCCTGAGGCCGACCTGTAGCCCGTGCCAACCACGGCTAATCTTGCCCGCCGCCTTTCATCTTCAAGGTTAGCCTCGACTCTTTCCCCTTCATTTCCCATTAACCTTGGAAACGAACTCCGAGCTCGACGGACATTGCTTATGACCACTTCCTTACATACTCGTCTTTTGGCAGCCCGGTCTGTGCTGTCCTTCTCTCGTGCTTTATTGGAGTTCACGAAAATTTCTCACTCATGAAGATGACTCGAGCGAGACAAGCAGACTTCGCCCCCCCCCCCCCCCCCGGCCTCGTCCTTCCCAAGAGCCATGCAGTCAGCAGAAGTCAGGATGAAGATGAGGTGCACGTTCATGAATGCTTACTTCCGTTCATGGATAACCCCTTTTCAATTGGAAAGGAGATACTCAATCCTCAAAAGTCGTGTTGTCGGCTCTTGATCTTCTGTCAGACCATTCCTTAAGGTCCATGCCGTCGCACTGACTCGGCACGGTCCAATGAGACCCGCAGCTAAGAATAACCCTCGACCGGTCCAGACACTTCTATTGTCTCTTGGTTCTTTGGGATCCGACTCTTTCACTGCAGGAAAGACGGTATCTGCACGCTGCAAAAGCCCTTCAACCCGTCCCGGTGATGGTGGCTTCTATGCCAGGCACGCCGTCTCGTCTCGTCGCGGCAGCCACACGCACACAGCACACACACCCCTGGTTACACTTGACCCATCCCCATCCTTTCCTTTTATTTTTCCCCTGTCTCTCTTTCACATCGGGCTTTTGCCATCGTGCTCACTCCCAAGGGCATCAGTTCAACTCCGGGGGTTACACCAGAATGGTTTAAAGAAATCAACTCCCTGCCGCTCTCTGCATACTTCCCGGCAAACCACTGACTTCCTCCTTGCTCCGCGCCCCCCAGTGCGTCTCTATACTCGAACCTCGCCCAGCCATCTCAGAGGATAAGACCATGTTTTCTCGATGACCATCGCACGTTCTTTACTTAGTTCTCTGATTCATATCGACTATATTTCACGTTCTTGCACCAGTCAATTGCAATATCACTCCCCGAACCCGGGGGCCCGTCTAGGGCTGCATCGCTCGCTTCCTCATCTAATATAATATGGATCTTCAATTTAACTTGGGCCAATGGTCAGAACGGCGCATTTATCTGCAGCTTGGTCGCTCACGGCTGATGGCACTTCTCTTAATTCCTTTATGGAGTTTCGTTACCATCCCGACTGTCTTAGCAGCTGTTCCACTCGTTTCGCCAGGTTCTCGGGCATTAGCACCAGATTCAAGCACCGTGTCTGCTGGCGGGGTGGACCTCCATGATACGTTACTTCGGGGAAATTCTGCCGGACGAATACAGCATGCCAGGCGAAATATCGTAACTGTCAACCCCAATGATATCGTCGGTCTCTCAATTCTCGTTGCAGACGAGGACTCTGCCATTGCGGAACAAGACAAAACTCACCTTCTGACCCGAGGCTCTTCCGATTCGGACTCTTTTCCAGCTGCTTTCGATACCAGCCTCTCGAACAACTTCACAACCACCACATGCCCCAACTTCTTCAAGTCTTTCCTTTCCAACGCTACCATCACCTCCTGCCATGCCGTCTCCATGCTCCTGCGTGATTCCAGCTCTTTCTTTCATGTTCTCACATCGGCTACGCTGACCTCAGAACTCCTTGACACCGCATGTGCCTCGAATGTCACCGATTGCGCGTCCATTCTCTCTGCGCTCGCAGTCGAATTGCTCAAGGAGGATGTTTGCGGCAAGGATCACTCTGCCGGCAATCCCCTGGTCACCAATGCGTATACCGACATGATCACATATGAGCCACTTTATCGTGCTACATGTCTTCAATCACCTTCGACCAAGAATTACTGTTTTGTGGATGCGATCAGTAATACCACCAACTCCGCCGATTACGATGTTTACTTCCTTGCCTATGGAAGCACTATCTCCGCCTCCCCCTCGCCAACCTGCAATAAATGCCTTCAGGCTACTCTGGCTCTATTTGCCACCTGGGCCGAGGTTGACGGCCAGCCCCTTGTCAATTCTTATATACCTTCTGCTGAGGCTATCAACACTGATTGTGGGGATAACTTTGCCAATGTCAACATCACTGTCGGGTCTGAGAAGGTTAGCTCCGGCTCTGGCTTCGTTGCTCCGTTACCGCAGTGGTCAACCTGGGGCCTTGTCACGTTTAGCATAGGAATAGCCACTCTGCTGGCGTTGTAGGTCGCCACCAAGCAAGCCGAGTTATCTCCCATCTTGCGTCTCTTTGCTCCTTCTCTAGACAGGTATCCCTTACTTCGCCCTCTTCCTTCTTCTGAGCTCCAATGTGTGTGCTTGCTTTCATCTTTTTATCTTCAGGATGCGGTTACGGGTGATGACAGCGATTGCTAGGATTTACACTTCTTTTTTCAGGTTCCCTTCTCTTCGTACTCTTACTTCATACACGGTTGGTGAGATTTATGGTCGAGGCTCTGTACACCTTCTCTTCTTTGTGTCATATACCCACTATAATGTTTATACTTAATCTGGAAACTCGCTCAAATGTTGCAGCATAGACAGACTTTGAAGACGGGACATTAGAGGTCTAGACAATTGTCTGCTTCGTACTCATACATGACAAACAGAACTACCACGAGATTGAGGAAAAAGCCCTATTCAAGTAGTCTTATGCACGGCCAATCTCCATCGTGGGGAAACCAAAGGAAAATGGATCCGATCGACTCTATGGCAAGTTGGCAACAGCGTATGGGATGCGGTAAGTCCTGACTCCTGGACTCCTTGATATCCCCGCGGGTCTCCTCATCGGTGCCGGGCCGACTCACCGCCGGGCCTTGTTTGTTTGGGGTGCTTTTCCTTTTTGGGCAGATTGTTGCATCACCGTAGACTACACTAAGTTACTCAGCTCGAGTTGCATTTCATTTCTACATTCCAAGTTCTGTCCAGCTGTCACTCGCTTTGTATCCAGCCTTAATTTAATCCTTCCCGCTTCCATCCCAGACTGGCTCTCATCCAGCCCGTCATTTCTCCGTCATGGTAGGTGTTCATTCTCAACCCAACCTCCCAGGTTTCAAGCACCCGCTTATCGGACACCGACCCAGGTCACCTCCAATGCGCCTTTTCGGCCGTCACCCTTATCCTTTGGCTCTCCTCGAGCATCGCCCTTCCGCCGTCCATCCACATCCAATTCACCTCCGCAAGCGCGACCCAGTACTCCTGGCAGCTCCCCCGGTCGCGGATACACGCCGGTGACGTCTCCCAGCAAGCTCAAGGAATCATACACGGTCGCAGATGAGGATGAAGGTTCCTCCTCACCCCTTCAAGATCGCAGCCCGGTCGCTCAATCGCGCTTGACACGCGAGGTGCCTCTGTCGCCAACGCGGGGGGGCAGCGCCCCAGACACCTCCCCAACGATGATGGCTACCAAGGCCACGCATATAATGGCAGCATCTTCGGATGCAGCCGCTCAGCTCTCGCCGGCCCAGTTGCGAGAGATCCGCGAGGCCTTCCAAGTTCTGGACCGGGACAATGACGGCTTTGTCAACAAGGATGATGTGGCTGATGTCCTGGTGAACGTGGGTAAGTGGCACTTCCTCATCTTCGTTCATCATAGCATGGCTGACAAGCACGCCTGAATTAGGACAAGACGCATCTGCACTTTCGCAATTCTTCCCGCCTGGAGGGGCATCTACGATCAACTTTCCCACCTTCCTGAATACGCTTTCACAACTGCTCGCCCCGCTATCTGCCCAACGAGAACTGTTGAACGCCCTGGCGGCCTTCGACGAGGATGACAGCGGGCAGATCGACGTGGAGGAGCTGTGCGACGCTCTGATGCATACCGCTCCCGAGGACGGAGATCGGCCGCTCACCGACCGGGAGATCCGAGACGTGCTGAATGGGTTTACAGGCCGTCGGGCATTCGAGGGCAAGGGCGCACGAAGCACCGGAGGGGGTAAGCGTGGGGAGGTCTTCCGGTATCAAGAATTCGTCAGTGGGCTTGTGGGCGGAACAGAGACGAACCAATCGACACGACGCGATGCCTAATGGGTTGATTTTGTTTTGTGATTCTTGTTTTCCTCTTTTCTTTTGACTCATGGTGTACGGAGACACGAAGCATCAGATTTGCAACTGGATTATGGCTCTGGCAGCCATGCAGTTGCAAAGTAGACGGTATGATTGTTATTGATTTGATTGAATTTATTCTGCGTGTGGAGATGAGTGAGGAATTGAAATTGTTGTTTTGATTGTGATGGAGATTTGAGGGTCCCCACATCGGCCCGAATTTAGGTTTTCTTTCCTTGAGTCAGGCTGGCACGAGAAGCTGTCAATCAAGGGGGGGGGGGGGGCAAAGCACGAAGGAGATGATCATTTAGAGTTGGCATGCGAGGGCCAGCCTTCTCGTGCAATTGATATGCTTGTAATATCCAATTCAGATTCAATGGACAAAATTAATGGTGGTGGATGGATTGAACTTAATAACAACTAACTCGCAGTAGTGCCAGGAAACTAAAGAACTAAAGAACTAACGAGACTATAACGAGACTAGTCCAAAGTCCAATCCAAGTTCGCCAAGTCCAGAATGGAACCTGATCACTGATTGAACTGATGGACTGACAGGAAGTCTATGGAGTAAGTTACTGAGTACAACAACTTTGCTGTTTGGTATTTTTTTTCTTTCCCTTTTCTGACTATCTACTTCTTCTTCCTACTAAAAAAAATACTTGCATTCTTTTCTAACGACACCCGGAAGCTCCACATCACCACCACCACAACCACCACCACAACCACCACCACCACCACTACCACTATTCACTCACCACCTTCTCTTCAAATTCAACTTCGAGTTGAACCTGCATTCTTTCACTTCTTCCCTTTCTTCTCCCCTCCCCCTCCCCCTCCTCCTTCCCCCTTCCCCCTTCACCTTCCCCAGCCTCTCCCTGGTCTGTTCAGTCTGACCAGGAAGATGGTTTCATGTGTCGCCTGCGCTTCCAATAACCGTCCTTGCTGATCCTCCTCTCCCTCCTCCTGCTGCTGCTGCTCCTCGAACTCCCCAATCGACCTTTCCCCCCTCTTTCCCCCTAATCATGTCGCTTTCGCCAACGTCTTCCTCCCTCTCTCCTACACGTCCTACATCCTCTGTACCACCTTTTTCGCCTTCTTCTTCTTCTTCTGCTGCTGCCTCCCCCCAGCCCACTCAAGCCCAATTGACTCTCGCTGCTTTGGCACGATCTCCGTCACAACCCCGGACTATGCGAGGCTTGCGCAAGATCAAGTCCCATCAGATTCTCTCCTCCCATCCACCTCCGCCTCCCTCATCCGGACGTCTCTCGGCTGGCGCGGAGGAGCTTCCCGCGCCCGGACCCCAACTCGATTCCCCCGTGCGGCTTCGCAGCACACATCGCCGTGCACGTTCGAACAGTGATGCCTCCTCTCGGGAGCCTCCCATTCTCACCGCGCACCGAAGACCCGGTAGAAAGACCGGGTCCGGATTTGGAGTCAAGCGGTCGTTGCTTGAGTCGCTCTTGCGCGACGGTCCGCAAAATGGGAACGTCCGAGAAGGACTAGAGGAGCTGCGTTATCTTGTCCTCTCGACGCGTGTCGAAGCAGACGCAGATGGCATGGTAGGTTCTAGTGATAATCAACCGGTGACCTGATAGAGCAAGTCAAATGTGTACTCAGCATGTCCGCTAATCATTTTGTCGTGCGTTGCTAGTCTACCTACCGAGTTTATCTCTGGCTTGTTCTCCTCGATACGCCGCCCGTATCGACCGACGAATACCTGTCACTTATCCACCGAGGCCGTTCCCCCGCCTACGCTAAGATTCGCAATGATACTTTCCGCACCCTAGCCACCGATCCCCTTTTCAAACGCCGCGTCACAGAAGCCAGTCTGATCCGACTCCTTAATGCTGTTGCGTGGAAGCTTCACGATGCGAAGAGCAAGCGTCGCGCCCGTCCGCGACTTTCGACCGGTCGTCGGCGTGAGATGGAGCTCCTTATCAATACGCCCCCAAGCATAGCAGAAGAGCCCTCCCCGGTTGGAAGTACTCCCGGGAGTGTGATCAGCAACAGCACCAGCAGCGCTTTCGGTAGCCCTGGCGTCACAAACGAATCCGCTATTTACGTGCAAGGAATGAATGTACTCTGCGCTCCGTTTCTATATGCCGCCCGCAGTGAAGTGGAGGCTTTCGCATTATTTCACTCTTTCATCCTCCGTGAATGTCCGGGCTACATTCGAGGAGCCATGGATGGCGTCCACCGGGGTCTGCGACTTGTCGATCGATGTTTGGAGATCGTTGAGCCCAAATTAGCAGCCTACCTCTTCTCCAAGGGCTTGCAAGCCGAGTTGTATGCATTCCCCTCCGTGTTGACCCTGTGCGCGTGCACGCCGCCCCTACCGGAGGTTCTGCATCTCTGGGACTTCCTATTCGCGTACGGGCCACATCTGAATATTCTATGCATCGTTGCGCAATTGATCCGCATGAGAGATTTGATTCTCGAGAGTCCAAGGTATGTTTGTTGATCATGACCTCATCATAACATCACATCTTGAGACACCACAACACGAGCGGGAAAAAAGAACTCACCGTAAACCAATGAAACACATCATTTCCCTATGCCCCCTTACCTGATAAGACCCATCGAGCTAATCCAGATCACCCACATGACAGTCCTAACAAAATCCTCCGCTCCTTTCCTCCTCTCGACGCCAAGGAGATCATCGCCTTGACCGTCTTGCTGGTCCGCAAGATTCCCGAACCGCTCTACGCCGAATTAATCAACCACGCTAAATGAAGCTCTTGCGCTTGCCCGCTTTGCTCATTTGCCATGCCCTTATTCAGGCAAAACTTAAGATGCTCCCGAATGAGCCCTATCACGGACTCGAGAATGGATGCATTAGCTACCCCCTCTTCTCGCCTCTCCTATCCCGCCTTCCCCGAGAAGCATACGATACCTCTCTTAACCTAACCTAACCTACCTTAACCAAACACATATGATACCTGCTGCCATGAGTTCCAACGAGATGAAACGACCATTTTTGTTTGCGTGTTTGTTTTTCATCACTCTTGCATTTCCAACCCTGCATAAGGAATCGATGGGAAGAATCCTTTACTTTCCGTCTGTACTTTTATCCTTTTCTTTTATAACATTTTTCTGCTCCCGCGCCTTCCTAATTCATCGCTCGTTGCCCTGCCTCCTGCATGTGTTTGTTACCCTGCTCCCGTATGCATTTGTCATCCCATTACTCAATCGATACTAACCTGTATCTACTGTACTATTCTCGCTTCGATTTTGGTGTTTTGCGTTTGATGATCCGCATTTGATATGATTTTTTGACATGAACCGATGGACTGATTGATTGGCTGACTGACTGATTGACTGATGACGAGGCGCGCCTCCTGATGAAACTGTTAACTGGATTGGGGTTTGGTTTGGAGTATAATCCCATGATGATGGGACCATGAAACGATGAATTGTTTTTGTTCTTGATGATGACGATGATGATTATGATGGTGACATGGGAGGAATTTATTATCTCACATCGCATGCGAGATAACCCTAATATGATCCTTGTGTGTTTCCTCGAAAACTTTCCGATGCCGAGGACAGCCCGGGTTGGGTCGACCCCCAGAATTAGAATTACTAGATGACATAACACATTTTTGAGCGACACGAGAGGATAATGCTATTTGATCCAAGGCGTTCCTTGGTGTGTTGATCTAAATTCGCAACAATGGATGGGTGACATGAACAGATTTAAATCAATTAGTCTTTTTTCTATCGCGCAAAACCCCCCTGAATTCCAAAAACAAAAATCTCTAATAAGCAGCGCAAGTCCGAACTCCTAACGCCTCGAGGTCCCCCCTCCCCTCCCGTCCCTGCCTATCTAGGTACTATACTGATCTACCTGCACACCATGATAATAGCAGAAAAACCAATACACTGGAACCCGAACACAAAACAAAAACAAAGAGGTTACATGCAACAACCATCTTGGGCTCTCCTCTAAGCCGTGGACCCAGAACCGTATTGGGAGATAAGTTACTGGCTAGGATCAAAGAACTTGCCCAAACTGGGCGATACTAGGTCGCCACAGCTCTGCGTCCAGTTCCCGACCCGTTGACGACCAGTGGGCCACAGCGGTCGGTCTGTTTCGCGGCCGTTGAAGTGGGAGAAGACGAGGGGGACGCTGAAGGCGAGATGTCCCTCGCGGCTGTTGTTGTGGCTGCGGCTTCGTTGCGTGGTATATTTTCTTCCGGTGTGGGACCACGGCGGTGGTCTTTAGCGGTATGCGTCGGGGGTTTGGATGGCGTGTGGCTTTGGCGGAGGGTGTTGTGATTCCTTGTGCTGGTATTGGTGGTGGATTTGGCGGCATTGACGGGATCTAGCGGGGGGGTTGATGCGTGGTGAAGCATGCTCCGGTCGATCTTCACGCGGATCCGGGCCCCCAGGAAGGTGCAGCCGTTGTAGAGGGCGATGATGCGTTTGGCTTCCTCGGCCGTGCGGAAGGTGACCCGCGCGAAGCCTCTGCAGCGTCCAGATTCCGTGTCCAGCGGCACCTCGCATTGCTCGATTGCGACCCCTGCGTCATGGAAGAAGTCTCGCAGTGCCAGGCCACTCGTTGCTGGGCTGAGGTTTTGCACAAAGATCGTGCGACGGGGGGAGAAGTGTGGGGGGCCCGTGGCGCTGCTGGGCTGGTGATAGGCCGGCGAGATGAAGCTGACATTGTTGGGATGGTAGTTGTGGACAGGTTTCCGGGGGAAATGGCTTCGTCGTCCGGCGGTTGTGCCAAATCGCGTGCTTATGGGGCCTTCGACGAATGGCTGAACAGCGGGTAATGGGTAGGAAGGGAGGATGGGTATAGCGAAAGCATCACTGAAATTGTGCCGGAGAGGCGCGGGAGACTGTGGGATAGCAGGGATGGCGTGCTGAGTGACTGCATCGGCGAAAACAGGCAGGAACGGCTGGTGCTGATGGGGTATACTCATGAGGTCAATCACGGGACCATATTCGGAATTCGAATACGTTGGACTCGTGGAGATGACCGGCCTGTTCGGTGTCAGCCCGAAAACCAACTCCAACCCAGCCTGTCCTGGGTATCTTCACTTACTCAGGAGATATCGGGGAAGGAGGAACGGCCATGTTCTGCGTGACCCTCGGCGGCGTCGAGTAGCCCGCAATATAATTAGCAGGAATCAAGCACGTGGGACTCTTGGTCGGGCCAGCAACCGGGCGTGTAGGGGAGCTGGTCCGAGCCAGTGTCACAACGAGGCTTTGGCCCTCCCAGCCATTCGTGGATAGCCTCTCTGGAGGAACACTGTGTCAGTTCATGCACACTTGTTGACCGGTCACACGGCTTCGATGGCAATGGAGAAGGCTCAGGTACGCACGATATGTTCGCCACGCTTCGTCCTCGTTCTTAACGATGATCTGGCCTAGCCCGGTTGGAAATCCATGCTGGTCATCGTACACTACAGCCTGTCGGATATGTAGGGCTGTTTGGCGGACCAGATCTTTGAGCTCCTGCCAGCGGCAATGCGCTGGGATCTAGTTCACGGGAGAAGAGATAAGCAAGACACGAAGACAGCGAGCACGGTCGAGGGAACCTACTCCCTGGAGGAACAAGACAAACTCCTCATCCGACCTTCCCTGCTTTGTCGTTCGCCCCTTGTCGCGCGAGGACGTTGGTGCAGGCATGTTATCGTGCAGTCGCGGGGGTCGCAGCACCGTCCCAGCCTCCAATTGTAGGTGTATAGATCGACCGTCGGTACTTGAGGGGACCAGTCACACGGGATTGCTGCGTCCGGTCGGTTCCCAGAACAGGCTCCGCGCACACAGCTCGGAACCCAGCGGGAAAGTGATAATAGAGTTAAGCTCTGTTGATCCAGGAGAGAAGGTGACCAGTGATCAGTATCTGGTCAGAAATGACCCAGAGAGTCGCCGTAGAAATAAGTGTTGAAGGTGCTCCAGGCGAACCTGCTTACCGTTCTAGGTTCCAGGAAGCTCCGGTCGCACAGGTGAACGAGTGAAGGTCGGACTGCTTAAGAAGCACTGATCCGCGGCGGGAGGATCCAGCTGAGTGACTGCACCTTCGTCGATTTTAAAGCGATACGAGCAAAGGACCGGAGGAGGGTCGATCGATTGCCTACATGGAGGGCGTCCCACCACCCAGAGACAAGCCGAGACGTTGAGACCGAAACACTGACGCAGAAGTAACCGGCTTCGGCCAAATCGAGGTGCGAATGAGATGGTGGATTCAGGAAGAAGGCAGAAAGAGGAAGAGAATCACACGAAAGATCAAGTAGCAGCAGCAGCAGCAGCAGCAGCAGATCGCTAGTGCGAGGGATACCTAAAAATACCATGGACATGAAGATGAGGGATGGGGAGAGAGCTCGGAAGTGAGCAGGTCAGATCCGCTCAACGAGGGTAAGCGAGAGCCACGGATGCATCCGCTGACGAATGAAGGACGTGCTTTCTTTCGCTGATTGTCTCTTGTACTTCGGAATAGAGAAGTGTGAGTGGATAAGATGCTGAGAGGACTGGAGATGAGGGGGGTGGGAACTTGGGAAGGGGAAGATGTGTCAGGTCCAGGAAGGACGAGGGGGGGATGAGATGATATGTCATGCATGATCGCCTGCGATGGATGGATATATCAAAAAGTAACATGTCAGGGAAGAAAAAGTCGTCATTAGAGTCAACAGAGGTAGAAAGCAATGACCTGGAGGATTCAATGTGTCAATGAAAAAGACAGAAATGAGATGAAATGAACTAGATCGAAATTATGTCAAGGAAAATAAAGTCAAATAAGATACAATGTTTTGTTTCCAATTGTTGTTCTCTGCTTGTTACAGTACTTGATTGTCCCTCTTACATTTACACCGCCAGATCTCAGGGCAGCCACCGACAGCAGACCGCAGTAGACACCGGCAGACACCAGACAGCACTGCATGGTCTGGTCCTGGCCGATTGCATGGAGAGTCTTAGTCAAAAAGGCAAGACGAGAAAGCCATTCTCCAGCCAATGAAGTCCGTGAAACCAGGATGGTCGTCTCGGACCAGACACGAAGGCTCCAGCTCTCAGGAGTCACCATGGACTAGATACCTGAGCGGAGTCAACTGAAAATCTCGCTTTTTGCTTTTTCTCCCCCTCCCCATCTTCCCGGTCTATTTCTCGCCTTCTCCGGACTTGCCTACTGAAGGGCTGCCGCTGCACGCCAGTACAGATAACCTCAGCCCTGGCTAAGGTGGAGCTGGTTGTGACAGCGACGGACCAGTGACAGACCTGTCTCATGTCTGATAATTTCCCTCGTCTGGCAGACAAGCACTCGTCCAGTGGCGGTGTTCTTGTGTCATATTAGTTGTCTCGGTTATCTGTTGGGTGTTCCCTTGAAAAGGGGAACTCGTAATTCCATCTACTTGAAGGGCTAGAATCGCTAACGGAAGCCATTCGGTGGTCATCATAATCGGTTCCCTGTAATCAGTGGAAGTCATACAGAAACCAAGACACTTGCCGTAGAAGCGATAGCAGAGTGTCGCAACGATTGGATGACGATCAATTTTGACAGCAGGCAGGAGAAAGACTCACGGTTGTGATTTCCTTGTGGCTTCCGAAGTTGCCCCTTGACCCAGTCTCCGGGCGACCCTGGTGCATCTGAAGAGTCATATTCCTCAATTCATTTTCCCAGCCACCCCCAATACACAGATGCTTCGTCCGCCACCTCCGACTTCGTCACTGCGGTCACCGCCGGATACCTATCACGACGGTCGCACTGCAGGGGTCTTGGGCCTGACAGCTCGGGACGTGGTCAGGATACACCAAACGCTCGGGCGGCAGATGCCTGTACTCGGTCCGTCATCATCGAATTGGAAAGCGGACCTGGGGAGGAGGTGAAACCTCGAGAAGTGGAATTTCGGAGCGTGGAGAGCTGAGCTGCACACGCACGCAGACCACCCACACATCCCCAAGTCTATTAATCAGATTAGTGCGGAGAGATGAAGACTTTGGTTAAGGATGGATTCAGTCAGGGTGGTCCTTCAACCTACAGGAGGACGATGAAATAGACTCATATGAGCTTCGGTGCCGGACTCAGCTCGCAAAGAGAGAGCCAAGATGTCTTGCCATCGACTGCGATGCGACTGAACGTCAGCCTGCTCAGAAATCCTTGTAGTCCCAGCCAGTCTCATCATCCTGAGCTCAACAGTCAGGATGGATGATTTAGTCACCCAGCGACCTGGGAAGTTCACAGGGATTTGGGACCCAACCCCACTTCCCTAAGGAAGACCGATAGTTGGAGCGATCGATCGATAGGCAAGATCCGCCCTCAGGCTTCCTCTGCTCCACGGTCCCATCGTTTTGGTAAGATCTTCCGCTAGCAGAGCAATCACTCGTCTAGAAGAGATGGGGAAGGCCAGACAGGCGCTTGTCCGAATGAGGCGGGTTCGCGCGACGTATGATGCATCCTCGATTACCATCAACCTCGAGAGATGTTCCGTAACAGATGAGATGAAGCGCGAACTGGCTTGTCACCACGGTCGCAAGGATCAAGCTTTCAATGGTGTCACGGTTCGTACAACAAAGACACCGACTCATGCTGCGCGCACGTGTCCACAGCACTGGGGAGAAATTATCAATGAGGAGCTTGATGGGTCCGTGGGGGATGCATGAGCGATCCGAACCCAGATTTCCCTTCAGGGATTTTGGATTCTATGCAAATGGCGCTCATAGAGGAAGTTCTGCCTGCTCTCAGAAACGGAACAGGCGACCGAGTTGGAAGTTGTACCAATTTGGAAAAAAAACAGAAAAAAAAATAAGAGGGTTCAGCAAGAGTTGGGGTAGTTCGTGAAGGGACAACGTAGATGAGAGGTACAGTACTGGTCACATGTCCAAGGAAGTTGAAAAGAAGCCATCCGTCAATTGAGAGTTTCCTTTGACATGTCCGCGTTCCTGAGCGCACATGGCAGATCATACTTTGTGTCTGTCAATTTGTTTATTTGGCACTTCCGAAATTAGTTCTACAACCACCACCATAAGCGGCATAGCTGGCCTTTACCTTGACTATCAGTGAGACCATGCTCTGAACTAGATGATCACCATCTTCTGAAACCGGGCTGGGATCGTCCTGGAATAAACATCCACCTCTCACCCTCCTCCATTGCGCTTCATTCCCCCTTTTTTTCCTTTCGCAATTGCTTATCCAGGCAAATGACAGCTTGCCAGAGTGGAACCATGGGGGACAGGCAGACCAGACAGCCGATGAAACCAACCCAATCCAACCCCAAACCACGGCGTCACTCAACCCCGACCCACTGATCAGCGAAGCACGAAATAGGTAGAAACCGTACGCAGACTTGACTTACCCGACCAAGGTTGACAACCACGCACAACTGCAAAGGGACAAGATAAGTTAAGAATTACACTTTTGAATTTCATGGTAGGTTTACTGGATGACCCTCAACGAAGTTACTCCGCTGCGTCCACCCGGTACAGTGCATTGAGTTTTCCTATAATTCCCCCCCCCCCCCCAATCTTTGACTTTTGGGTCTCTGGTTATTTTCTCCATGTCGGGGGGGGGGGGCGCGGGAAGAAAGATGATCTCCCCGAAAGAAACATCGCATGAACTATTGTTGATCTTGGGTCAATCCCAAACCTTCTTTTTCTTCTTCCATCAAGGTTGAGATTAACCTTTCCGACTATCTACTGCTGTGTGATGGGTGATACATAGTAACTTAGTCGTCGCTACTTCATCTTTCCATTCCAGCCGGTTGGAACCAATCAGGCGTGAGAATCACATCATCGAAGTCAACCTATTACGTAGCTGTGTCGCGACACCTCCAGGACTTACGGTAGTTCCCCTCGGGCTGCAAGGGGGAGGGGAGAAAGGCGGGGAAGCGCTGGAGGCTTTTCTATAGCTTGTTGTTGTTGTTTGTTTTACTGTACATCATGGATCATTACCTACTGGGCCGAACGACAGAGCAAGCCTTGGAGAAAGAAGGGGTACGACGACGGGGAGAGGTTCAGACCAACCCTTACCAAGTCACCAACAGGAATAAACGCCTCTTACGCGCCCCTGGCAAGCAAAGCCAACGGGGATTCGCGTTTCGCAACGTTGGCCTTGGCAAAGGGGGACCTTGCGAAAGAGAAAGCAAAAGTGAAGATCCAGCTGTTATCCAACTCGAGCCTAGTCTACTAAGTGGACTTTCACTACGTACTAGAAATGAAAGCAACCAAGCCAGTTCCAGTAAGTCGTGGAAGTGTGATAGGCTGCCAGGACAACAACGTAAAACTAGAATGATAAATGGCGCTGGAGCTAAAATAGACCGACCACCTTAGCCTGATGACGATGATGGGAAGACACTACCCAAAAAGTCAAAAAGCGGGAGGAGGAGGAGGAGGAGGAGAAGAAGAAGAAGAAGAAGAGAAGACGCAAAGAGGGACAGCGCTAGTCAGTTTGAGGGGATGGTTGAGTGGGCTCGGGGGGGCATGTGCGGGTGCTGCGGCGGAGGCATTTCGTTTGGACGGGGCGGGGAAGAGCGAGGGGGGAAAAACCACCAAAAAAAAAGAGAGAGGAAAGGGGAAAGGCCGAACAGACGTAGCGCTGAAGATTTCTGAATATAGCCACTTCCAGCAATAGAGTGGAAGACATGTATCCGGTGTGTCTCACAGGCACACGCCGTGTTAATGTTGATTCGGTCTGAGGAAATTGACCATTGTTTACCTCGCTAACCCCATATCGCGGGGTTCGGATTCCGGGGGGGGGGGGAGAGAAGGGCTATTGCAGCTTCATGACAAGGCTTCAAGCACGAAGCACCTTTAGCATGCAGCTGCTATATTCAGACAAGTAATACCAAGTCGGGTATTTCTCCTCCTGATTATTACCAGTGGTAGTAAAGTCCTACACTACGTATACAAATGAGATCGGCGCTTGTTAGCACAAGTAAAAGAAAAAAAAAACAGATTACGGTCGCTAATGGTAAAATACACACAAGCGCTCTACTGTAAAAAATGTCGATATCACTTGATTCAAAAACATTTGCTGAGTTTGATTGGCAGCTTTGCTGCAGACATACAAAGTGGGCCATCAACACATGTAAAACAAGACTGGCTAATGCATTCGGTCACAAGAAGTCGTGGTCTTGAACCTTGAAGCTGCGGAATGGAACAAGCACAACGCATTCTTGGAACATGGGGATCCCGATGCTACATGCCCGGGTCAAGGGTAAGAATGCGCTACATAACAATGCGCATACATCGAACTCCTTTTCAATCCCCCATCTTTTGACTTAAAAAGGGACATATGAAATCCTGTAGATCTTTCCCCTTCCAAGTGGCGGGGACAGTAGAAATCGAGAGCACAGAGCGAAGCTTGTCAAAAGCATCGCTTCCGAGAGTTTCCAATTTTCTCAGAATATCTGCCTTGGTCTTCGTGCAGGGGGGTTTCGGATAAAGCGCGTGAGCAGCTGGGTCTTCCATATCCTTCGGATGTGTTGATCGTAGAGGCCGCATGGCATCCAGAATGACCCAGGGAACAGATTGCCCAACATTTGGGCTGCACCGATGCAGGTCCATGTCAATGGATTGCGGATATATGATTTGGGTTGAATAGCGGCATTCCCGAGCAGTACCGTAGAAGCGAGCGTTCGGATAACGATAGAGACACACATTGGAAGACCAGCGATTCCACGTCGGCTTGTGACCTGGGTACTGATTCGGGTACAAGCGGTTAGAGTAGGTGACGAAAGACACTGTTCATGTTGATGTTGTTTGGTTCATCCGAATTAAAATCAAGAGTGTTGGCCTATTGATTCCGTCTTTCAACGAATGAAGCCGACCATGGACGCACACCGGCTGCAGTAGTAGGAGTTCATGCCGAAACGAACCACACCGGGGGATGACTCGTTCTCAAGGCTCATGGAGCGCTGGCATCTCGAACAGCGGACAATGTCGAAGTTCATTGAGGTAGGACTTGAACTAGCGGGAGAAGCGACGACCCCTTTAGGAGTTCCGGTTGGTGGGTGTTGGACTCGAACAGAAGAAGAACTCATTTTTTCCCGACCGTTTGTGGCGGCCCTATGCCGAACAGTTGAGGCGAGAAACTCCGTTGCTCGTGGAACAGTGATTAGAGATAGAGGCGGAAGGACGGATATTTAAAAGAGTTCAAGCCCAGTGGCTGTGCCGGCTGGTGGTCAATTGAACGGGCGGAAAATTGGAGGAAAACGATGTGTAGAAGTTGATGGTAGGTAGCACAGGACCACCGGATCAAATGTCTCTTCCCCAGCGAAATCCTAGGCAGCAGTAATAGACCACAGAGGTGAGGCGAGATAGATTGCAAAGGGAGTTGCGATAGGTAGGTAGGTAGTGGTGGTAAGAGAGGGAGGTGTAGACAGATGGAAGTAGTGGTTGGTGACTGAGTAGATGGTTGCAGTCGCGGCACAGGTAGGTATGAAATAAGAGCGACTGGAGTAGCGATCAGAAGATGAAAAGGAGTTCGGAGCTCAAATTCCAGCTGGGCTGTAGCTGCTGGAAATATCTCTATATGACCAGAAAGCCCAGCGCCAAAAGGAAGTCCTCAGGGTCAGATCGATCTCCACTTCTTTCGCTCCGTAATTGCACCGGTCTGGTTTAGCGGGAGCAAAATAGTACGTGGTAGTAATTTATAGTGATTGCCTCAGGTAAAACGGTAAAAACCGAAAATCGAATCTCGGAGTAAGGAAAATTAAAATCCAATGATAAGACAGGGGTAAGGATAGGATGTGCAAAGCTGATGAAACTAGATGGCCACCACCACTACCACAACAACAACAATAACAACAACAATAACAATAACGAGGCTACCAACTCAAGACCGTACGCATGAGGAATAAGGCAGCTGATACTATAAGCAGCTGCATGGAATGTGGGGATCAGGTTTCAGACTTGATGATGATTTTCCCACTGTGTCTGTCAGTCAACCACAGGAAGATTTGTTTGAAAGTGGTGTTGTTCTGATGAGGCAGCTGCTCGGGTCCTTTTTCAATGCAGCAATCCAATGTAGGGGTGGATGATGGTGGTGATGGAATGATGCGTTTAATAACTAACAATGGGATTTGATGGGATGGACCGGAGAAGCGGCAGCCGACTCTCATGATTATCGAATGGTTGGCTGGTTATCCTACCGAGTACTAGAAGCACAGTACTAGGTACCTTGACTTCCTACGTAGTTAGGTAGTAAGTTGTAGGTGTAATTTCGAAATATACCACTGGACTTAATTTGCCCTTCCCTGTTGTTGGTGGTTCCTGGATGAACGAACCGGTGATGCGAGTCTTTTCCAGTGCTCTGGAGTGCTTTCCCTGTGGCATCATCATCATCACTTCCATCACCTCCATTACATTCCACCTCACCTCATTGACTATCATCCAGGTTGATTCGATTGTTCAACCACCCCTGTTACTCGGTCGCATCTTGGGCAACCGCCAATTGGGACTTGGTTTCATACCATCTAAACCTACTGTTTTGCATTATCGTTGAACTATGATGATGTTCGTTCATAAGTATCTTTGTTTGAACCCCTCCTCCCCTCCCTCTCCCCCGCCATCATAAATTACGACTACTTACGTAGTGTGTCTGATCCTGATCTCAACTGCAGACAAGCCACAATGACCCACTTGCAGTTAATCGAGGCTTGGTGTTATGCATCAATCTCCCTTCTGCTTCTTCCCCTCCATAACCTTTGTCTGCATTCGTTTTGTTCTGCTGCACCGACACCCAGGGTCGTGTCGTCATGACCAGCGCTGAAGGGGGGCGGGAAGTCAAAGGGTGTAAGACGGGGGCGATCACTAGAATGGTCTGGTTCAGACTCGGATCTACCATTCTTTCTCTGCCCATTCAGGGACTGGACAACTCGTGGCCTACTTTTATCAGTGGCTCAACCTATGAGGGAAGTATATCTGACAATCAATCAATCAATCTGTATCGGCTCCCGCCTGCTGGGAGACTCCACCCGTTCCGTTCCATTCCTTCCATTCCACCTGCTGCTGCTACTGCTGCTACTACTGCTGCTGCTGCTGCTGTTGCTGTTGTCTTAGTCACGGCAACATAGTTCACAGCAGGGCGACGTACTATTGAAATTGATAGATTATGGACCAGAAATCATTAGTCGGGCGGAGCAGATGGCCCCGCCTGCATTTTGAGAGTTAAGGAAAGAAACAGTCTTTTTTTCCCTTCAATGATCGCGAGTAATATTAATCCAGGTTGGTGATTTGCTCTGGTCGTCATCGATCAGTGGAACATGCGGTAGTCATCAAAACTCAGGCTCCCGCGCCCAGCCAACCCCGTCGGTCCAACCAGGCGGTAAATCCCGCGCTGATGACTACGACTGATAACCAAGCCTCGAATTCATCGGAATTGTAGATATCTGATGGCATTCCTTCCCATTGGTAGAGAAAGTCTAGTCTCGTCATCTCAACCTTCGTCTTTCGTCGATTTCGCCATTGCCTTCAGCAGGTCCTCCCAGAGTTGGGCCCGAACATTAGCATGAAATCATGTTACCGCGATGATCCATTTGTCTATGTCTACGGAGTACTTAGTAGTGCCTGCATTTTGGGCCTTGGACTCATGCGTAATAGCGGCGACGACGGCGTTGTTGCATGCGGGAAAGTCGTGAGTTGTGAGTTGTGAGGCGGTCACCTCCCAGTGTTTCAGAATGTCCTGTCAGACTTTGGACTTTGGACATGAAGGATGCGGACGATCTTGCTCCAGTCGCCCTACTCATCGGGTTCCATCATGTGTTGCTGTCAAACCATAATTCTTCTTTCTAAGTCCTGACTGCCTGACACTAATTCTTCTTTGATTTAGACCGCCTTGTATAGATGTAGGGTTGCGTATGAAAGAAATTAAGGTCATGGTTTTTAGGCAGGAACCATCGCAGCAGTCCGACCGCAGCACTGCACCAACTGTTTTTACGTTTTCGTCATCGCCTTTGTCCTCTACGGAACTCAATTCCGTTATTCTCTGCGCCATCATTGTCATCGCTGCTGTACCCCGGGTGCTAGTGGTCGAATGGATTGTGTGCTCTATGCCTTTCTGAAGCCACTAATCCTAATTTTTTACCCAGAGTCTTGGGTAAGAGTGGATTCGGGGATTCTGTTCAGGTAAAATGCGAGCGTTTTGCTAGGAGGGAGCAACTTGCGATTCGCTACGGCCTCGCCAACGACTCAGTGCGGCTACTTTCGTTACTAATGGTGGAAGTGGGGAAGAGCAGCTGGGCAGTAAGAAAGCCAACCGAAAATACGGATGGTTAGAGGCACCTTCAGGTCCTTGCCAATGAAGTTCGCAATTCGCGGTTCGATTGGAGAAGAAAGACTAGATCCCAATTGTACTGAGTACGTCGTCCTCAATGCTCCCCCTAAATCGACGGTGAGGCATTTTCCTAGTCTCTGCACCCGCTGCCAACTCTTCTATTCCGGCTTAGCGTCTACATACGAACTTACCGTTCGCTTGTGAAAGCCTCAAAGCAACTTGGAACCTTCCCCTAATTGCCCGTAATGGAACTGTGGCCGCTAACTTACAGGAGGCCATGGGGATATCTTCCCCCCTAATAATGACGAACACGGTTACTTACAGTTCTGATTCTGAACAACTCCCTAACAAGTGATCTGATTTCAATTATTGTCATTGTGTTGCTTCTTGTCCTACCGACAGATAGGCTGACTTCAATCATCCATCATTGCGTCGAAACCTGCAGAGCTGCAACATCTACCCTCGTTTTCACACATTATAGTTACCTGTGTGCTGAGACGTTCTCATTTCCTTATCTGTTGGCTGAAAGTTATTGCTGGGACTCCAATACAGCCTAAACATCACATTCGGCTGATAGCAGCGCTGCCAGAACTGGGACAATGCGCACATGTCATGGCAATTGTGCAAGAATGCGCCCGGCTGCAGAATGGTCGGTCGCACGCACGCATGCACGCACCTATTCAGAGCGGTGGCCGATGGTGACACACGGGCATTGACAAATCCACGGGTTCATTCTCCCCCAGAGGCGCTCTCCCGGTGCAGGGACCTCAGTCTAACCCGCACCAACTGACTGAGATTGTTAGTCAATTTGACTAAGTTACATCAGTCATCAGATGCAAGGACTATTGACTGGGATTTGATCTCAGCGTCTGCATGATGCTGTAATCGCGCGTGCATACCTAAGCCGCCTTCATCATCGGGGTGGTCAAGCACCGGGACCAAACTATTCCTGCCCTATCATTTTTACTGGAGCTGGATGCAGGAGCTAGTTCCAGATCGCTAACTAGCTGTTCTAGCAGGGCTTAGTCTACTGATCATGATCAAATAGTATGGACCGATAATTCTCAATTACAGGTGTTGTGGTGTGAGGATCATCATTATCGCAAGCCTCTCTAGATCTAGTGGGGGGAGGGGGGAAGAGGGGGGGAGGGGTGATGCTTGAAGGCTGCAGTAGGTGGGCAGGCAGAGCGTTATGCTGACATCATTTCACATGCTTGTCACTTGAGGTATTTCAAGGTGTCTTCATTGCTCGACGCGGATCCCGGCGGCTTTCCCTCAAATCAAGAATTGGTTGTCCTGTGGCGGCTGCCGAGGATGGACAGACAGGGCAAAGACAAGGGCACGGCAGAAGAACAATAAAAACCACTAACCGTTCCTGCCCAACGTTGTTCGGCACGGCACGTAGAAAAGGAATAAGATGAGGCCGTGGTTTCCGGCCTCTGCTCTTATCGTGACAGAAGATACTCGACCGACGGTTGGTTGCTGTCTGTTGGTTGGGGGAGGACCACCACTAACCTAAGGAGTCTGAAGGAGTATCCATGATGATGGAGTGAATGACTGAATGAATGAATGGTGTTTTCCAATCCTTCCAGGCCCCTCCCTTTGCCCATTGCAAAACCGTTGAATATGGCAACGACGTCATGGTTGAGTAGAGGACTCAGTAAGTCAATCATGGCTCACCTCAGGCTGGCACCTTACCGGCATTTCTCCTTCTCATCACCATGCGGCAAGGAACACCAAGAAGGAACACTGATCAATTCACTGAGTATTCGTCGGTCCCAACAACTACCTAACTATTACTACTAAGTCACTTACTTACTGTACAGTAACTAGCTCACAGTTTGGTTGTTGTTACTCCCGCCCGTGTGATTCTCACGTTCCGGCAGGTACGGAGGAGCAAGCAATTCAGGTTCAACAGTTCTCCATCCTTCCTTTGCCCCGCCCCCGCCCTGAAGCTGTTGACCGAAAACCGCCCCTCCTCTCTCTCTCTCTCTCTCTCCTCTCCTCTCCTCTGCTCTGCTCTGCTCTTACTCACTTTCCCCCCTCCTATTCTCGCTCGGGCAGATCAATTATCCTTCTCCCTCCAAATCCCTCTCTTTCTTACATCGCCTTTTTTTTCCCCTTCCCTACAAGCTACCGCTTGCCCTTCACAATGGCTGCTTCTGCCCCTAATCTCTACAGCTTTGCGAATACCGATGCTCTGGCCCAGCAACTGAGGCCTTACGTCCTCCGTATACAGAACTCCGCCTTGAATCGTCACAGCACTTTCCGTGTTGCTGTCTCTGGTGGTTCCTTGCCGAAGGTGCTGGCGCAGGCTCTCCTCGCGCCTGGAAATGGCTCCGAAGAAGATACTGCTCAGTTCTCTAAGTGGCACATCTTTTTCGCCGATGAGCGCGCCGTACCCCTCGACCACGAGGACAGCAACTACCGTTTGTTGAAGGATGAATTGCTCGATAAGATTCCAGCGGAAATGGGGGCTCCCATCGTGCATACGATCGACCCCGCTCACGTCAACGATGAGGATCCCCAGGAGCTGGCCGACCTGTACCAGGAGGACCTCATGCGCTCCTTTGCGGCCAAAGACAGTGTGAAGCTGCCTGTCTTCGATCTTATCCTCTTGGGATGCGGGCCTGATGGCCACACCTGCAGTCTTTTCCCTGGCCACGAGCTTCTCAGAGAGAAGGATGCTTGGACGGCAGCTATCAGCGACTCACCCAAGCCGCCCCCGAAGCGCATCACCCTTACTCTGCCGGTGGTCACGCACGCTCTCAACATCGCCTTTGTCGCGACTGGGGGTGGAAAGAAGGATATCATGAAGCAAATCTTTGATGCCGAGGAAGGAAGAGACTTGCCATCCTCGTTGGTCAACCAGGGGGCCGGTGAGAAAGTCAGCTGGTTCACTGACCATGCGGCCATTGAGGGCGTCGCCTTCCCGAGACGTGGCAGCTTGTAGTTGATGGGCGCATATGGGCCAAATTGGTTTCGTTCGATCAGAACTACGTACCCAGGTAATGTGAGGGATATGATAGCTATCGGTGATTGCGCTTTTGCACGATGCAGTTCCGTGATGGAAATGACCGAGGGAAGTGGATGGGGTTGGGAGTTTGATGATCGTTGTCGCTAGGACTGGATGACTTGTCCCGCCTTTTCTATCTGCGAGTTTCCCTTCTAGACTTCCGGAAAAGTTTGTGTTGTTATCCTGTGGATATCACAGACCGCTTCTCAATGAATGGACGAATGCTATAATCACGTGAAGTCGCCCCAGTGCTTGGCAGACGAGATCTGAAGCTCTGTATGGTCCGTCTGGTCAATGGTTGAGAAGATCAAGGGTCATGATTATCATAGAGTATAAATTCCAGTTCCTGTAGTAGCAGTGTAAGTGTAACTAACTTCGACCATACATGCGTAATAACCCTGTTGGAGGTGCTCACCGGGCTGAGCCAAGCTTCCCTTGAATTATGCGGAACCTTCACCGCAGCTGCCTCCGTCCGGAACTGCCGCCTTCAGCTAAACTCAGACCTCCACCTCTGCGACTCTGAGCAAGCACTATTTACATCGGTGGTGAGAAGGGGCTATGTCCCGTCTACGAAGCTCAGTCCTAAATACATTGTGTCTTCCAGTCAACTCAGCGCCCGCAAATGTCTTGATCTACCATCGTCATGCCGATTCCAACGCGCTCCCTTTCCCTCCGTGAGCCCCGTACCGGTAAGGTTAGTTGCATCTCGTCATCCCTTGATCACCTCTCTCTCATTTAAAATGACCGCAATGGTCTCGGAACGCCTTTGACAGTCTGCTCTGCTTTATGCTTCTCTTGTGTGCTATAACAGTCTCGCTGTTTCCTGATTGCTGACACAAAAATGATCAGCCATTGACCACCGGGCGCTCTACTACCACCAAAGCCAACCCTCCCCAAACCTCGACGGCAGTTGGCGGCAAAATTTCTTATCCTGCCACCGGAAATGAGAATATCACAACACGAAACAAGAGCCTTCTGCCGGTTCGTGACGATGCCCGCTCTGCGAAGCCCTCTCGAATTCAGCAGCCGGCAGAGACTCGCCTGTCCCAGCGACCGACCAAGATCGGGGGAAAGGGGTCTCAGCAGCAAGGTGAACCTTCGACACGCGAAGCGACCGGGGCAAGTCGTCGCCAGAGCCTCATTCGACCCAGTCCGCTGAAACCAGTTGGACCTGTGAAGCCAACCGCTACGCTAAGCACCCCTAAACAGGCCACTTTTGCACCAAGTCCATTGTCCCCCTCCAAACAAGAACTAGCTCACAGGCAAAATGGACGGCCCTTATCTCCCAAGAAAGCAGATATGCCTCCCCCGTCGCTTCGACCCAGTCGCTCCGCTTCCTTACGACAGCCAGTCAAGCCCAGCTCCAGCACGCCGTCCATCAGTCGCGGTCACGCGCGTCATCGAAGTCAAGGGGTCACGCCCAATGTGAGTCGATTGATAGGCAAATTGGAGTCACCTTCACCGAGCACCATAACTCCGACACGTCCGAGAGCTCAGATTTCGTCTCAGCCGCAAGCTCTACTATCAAAAAAGGCGGTCAACCCGGCTACAAAGAATCTGACTGTCACCATCTCCGAGGATGCGGATGCATCTTCGTCACCCTCATCCTGGCCCGAGCTTGCAGCCCTGCAGACAGAGCTTTTACAACTAAGCCTCACACACTCCTCATCTCTTCAACAGAAGACGTCCTGGACGGCCGAGGTCGAAGCTCAACTCCGGAAGGACTACAACTCCGTGGCCACTAAATACCGCGCCGCGCTCGCTGCAGAGCAGGATTATCAGACGAAACTGAATGGACACGCACTGCATTGCTGGTTTCGAAATTCCGGTGAGCACAATGGCCCACTCGGATTTGCGGAGCAGATTCGGGTACTCTCGCAGGTTGCAGAGGACGTGTATAGGGTGACGGAGTCTCTGGAAGGACACTACACGGTGGCCGTGCAGAAATTTGAAGAGTGGTTTCAGCGGGTGGAAGAGATTCGGCACCACCGGCTGCTGCACCATGAGCACGAAATGTACGACGGCGTTTTCATTGATTCCTTAGACCGCACTTGGCAAGAAGAGGTGTCGGCTTTATCTACAAAATTGGACTATTGCTCGCGGCAGCTACAAAGCCTGGACCTTCTGGGCTACGGAGAGTTGGAGCGATTCGACGGCTCTGCGCTGTTTCGCATGATTAAGAACCTCGAGGAGACGGTGAACCTGATGATCGAGGAGCTGCACACAATCCGTAAGATTGAAGGCGACGTTGTAAGAGCGGAACGGGCATGGGTTGGTCAACTTGCTCGGAAGCTGGTGAGCGCCATGCCACCCCAAGAACAGCGACTGGGACTCTGGAAGGAACAGACCTCCATGCAATCATGATGAATCATTTGCAATCACTTTTCTTTCCTGGCGGCGAATCCTCTGTCTCACCCACCATGGTTGAGAGGACAAAATGTGCAGAGACCAACCTGTTTATCAATCAAGCAATCCTTCTGGAAATCAGTACACCGGATCCGGACGAGAGACCGACTGCCGTAAGCGTTACCGGGCCTTGGATTCGCCTGGCGGAACATGGGGGGTCAAACCAGCAATGCATCATGGGGTCATCAAGGGACGAAAAACCGGTTCTGTCAGGCTCCGGGCCGCTCATTGGGAGGCCTGGCTGGTTTCTACACTAGGTAGCCCTGCTCACTAGCTGCCTTGCGTCGCAAGCGATCGGGCAACCCCTTCCAGGACTTCTGCATAAAGCGACCCGGCTGTCAAAAGGGCCTGTCTCGATTCTAGAAGGTAGGCATTGCTACACCTGAAACCTTGATTTGGGCCAAGGCTAACCCGGGACCTAAACACTAGTCCACCCAAAGTTTCGCTGTAGTCACCTCCTTCCACTCTGCCTGTCCATTTTACAGAGTTTTTTTCCTCTCGACACGCGACGCTGAAGGCCGGGCCGTCTCAACAGCATTTCATCACCCCCACTGTCAACTGACTTTGTTGAAAACGACGGTTGATACTCGCCAGAGGGGAGTTTAGTGCGCTGGTCAACCCCTGAGCGATTCGTGTGTTCCCTGGTGGTTAGACTGTACCACCTATGGTCATGTTTCACCGCTGGCGATGCCGACAGTAGCGTACAGATAGACCTTGGCTTCATCGAGCCGGGGACTCTTCAGTGGACCTGGGCTTCCTGTCAAAAGAAAAGGAAACAACCCAACAAGGCTGCACACCTCCATACAGCCCGTATTTCTTCTCGCACCCGAGCCAGAAGCAGAGAGAACCAGTGCAGATGAGCGGACGAAAATCCACTCCGAACCAGTTGTTGAGCTGTCAAGCCGACAATCGTCCCCACCTTGTCCCAGAGACTGTGCTGAGACAAAGCAGGGAAAAACTGGGAAAGTGGGAAGAGGAGAAGAGCAATGGATCCGGTTTTTCCTCTGACCGGGAAGGCTGTTGATCTGGAGGGCCGCGATATTACCCGTCGCTCCTCTTGCGACTAGACTGAAGACGACCTAGATCTTTCTCTTTTCTTATTATCCTCCCTATGGACCAGCCTGAACGAGAACAGAAGATACTGTACAGAAGTATGCTGCTGCATTGCCCTAGTTCATCACGGAGTCCGTGCTCCAGTGAATCATTGCTCTGCTCACTGTGGTTCGGAGCTGGACGGGGAGGGGGGAGGGGGGAGGGGAACGGGGAGGGATTAGTTTTGGAAGGCGAGAGAAGGTGAACGAACAGTCCGACTTTCAAAAAGCTGAGCCGGGAATAAGATCCTCACCGCGTCCATGCGGGCGGGTTGTAATGGGGAGGGAGGGATGGGTCACGATTGGATGAGCCGAGAGGAGACGGTGGGCAGATATGAGATTTATATAGAGATTGCTTTTTCGCTGGGCTTCGGCTTTGCTCAACCGACTGACGGATGGACTGACCCCATCGTTTCGTTTCTGGGGGAGAGTAACTCTGACTAAGCGAACGTGGGGACTTTGGTCATCAATCCAACCTTTTTTTTTTTCCTTTTCCTTTTCTTCTTATGAGTAAGTAGTATTTTTCTTTTTCTTTTCTCTCTTTTTTTTTTTTTTTCCTTGGACTCTATTTTTGATCTCGCTGGCAGCACAGCAGAAGATAGTGTCAAGCTTAAGCATTAGGGTCATGCTCATATTAATCTCCCCCCTTCAGCCGTGTAACCTCGTACCGAGATGGGAGGTGAAGAGATGCGTTTACCTCGACTTCTAGCTGCTTGCTTGCTTGCTTGCTACTCTCTTTCTCCCTCCCTTTCTCTCTTTTCGCTCTCATGCGCCCAACAGACCGTCCGGCGGAGGAAACAGACCATGGCCCCATGCATCCTCCTCAGTTGGTCGAATCATAGACATCAGATGGGGGGATCGCGGGTCTACCCAGATCGGTAACCTTTCTCCTTTCGGTATGGTAGGCCATTGAGATGATAGTCTAGTCCCAGGCTAGAGGATCTCAAGAGGCTGTTAAGGTTGTCACTCACTCACTCTCAACTCTCAAGTCAACAGTCAGTCACCCGACAATGCGGTGAAATGAGACAAATGCTTACTACCCTTTCTCCTCCAATATCTCGGACCACTGCCATCTGCTCGGGAAAGAAAAAAAAATTACAAGGTCTCGGGGAGGAGGCGAAAAAGATCAGGGCAGAAGCAGGAGCAATATGATCAGAATGCCATCATTCTGCGCGCGCAACTCGTAATTAATCATAAGGGGGGGCGAACCAGCCTACCTACTTGACCAGCAATCACCAACATGAAATAAGTTATGTACAGGACACAGTAAGTCAGTAGTACATTACCATGTAGTAAGTATCTGCAATGATATGGTGAATTAGTACTCCGTAGATTGCCTAGCTACCTACGGAGTAGCTAGTCAAGTAAGTTACCTAGTAGTTAACTACTACTTAACTACTAAGTTACGTACATGACCACTACTACTGTTACGGTGCTCAAACGGCGGTTCTGGGCCCAGTGGATCTTTTGGTTCCTTTCCTGTCCCTTTCTCGACTTGGGTCCTTTTCTCTTTCTCCCCTCCTCATGCTGCTTGCTCGATTGGCTTGGCTACTATATCCTGCCGTCGTGGTTGTTTTCTTACTCTGCTTGACTACTACTATTAACACTATACCCCTTCCTCATCGCTCTATCCTCTATCCTCTTCTATCTTATTCCTCTTCCCCTTTCCCCTTTTTGCCGGCAGCACCATTCATTCCCCTCTCCACGGCTTTCTCTTTTCAGCTTGGGCTTGTCCAAAGTACTCGGCACTATTCTGGTACGAGAGTCGGTGTTGCGACCCCATCCATTGGTTCGTTCCAGGAAGAGATCGGGTGCACAGTCCGGAATCTGGTCAGCTTTCTTTCTCATATACCCGAAACAATCTGGACCCCAGGCCGTCTTTGGGCCTATTCTTCCAAGTTGCCTTCTTACTTACTCACTCGCTCACTCACTCACTCACCCTCGTACTTTCTACTATCTCTCTTCCCGTGCTCTTTGCTCTTTGCTCTTCCCCAACCTTCTCTTTTTCTTTCACCACTTCACTTGGCACTACTCGACTCAACCCAACTCTACAGCAACTGGAAGGGCATCGATCTGGGGCTTGCTGCTGCTGTACCTGCCAGGTGTGGATGGCTGCAGACCTATCGACTGTATCCCTCACCAGTCACCAGCAGATCTCCGCGGGCCTGCGTTCAGTTTTACTTCTTATGTCGGACCTCGCCTCACACCAGGATCAGCAGCAACTGAGAGCTTTGCGCCGCCGTTTATCTGCGCGAACCCCAGTCTGACGTCATTTGAGCTGCAGTGGTTTCACTCCTCTTTCTTTCTTTTTCTTTTTCTTTTTTTTTTTTTTCTCTTTTTCCACCCCCTCCCTCTCCCCTTCTTTTCACATTCCGGCCGCAGCGCAATGATCCACACTTGTTCGGTAACCATACCGTCTGACACCTGGTAATTGTCTGGTAACAAGACCGCCGTCTCGATCACCCAAACCCACCCACCCACCCTCCACAATGAAAGAGTCCCTCTACGATCGTATCTGGCGTCGAGAATCTGGGGGATTTTCCTACTTGGCTGGCATTCATGGCCTTTATGGCTCTCCGGAATGGGTCCAGGACCTTGATATTGTAAACGAGCTTGGTGGTCACTCTGGTTGTGTCAATGCTTTGAGGTATGTATATCTCTCTCTACCTTATCTATCGATCCTCTTTCCATCTTTCGCCCGGAACTCTCGGCTGGTTCTGAGCTAGTATATGTCTTGTATTCTCACCCCCCCCCCCCTACCACCTTCGTTATCATTATCATTTATTACCCCTAGTTTATGCAGCATGACGTTCCCGCCCTTCTGACAGAGAACAGCTGGTCGCGGTCTGGCCGCCTGCTGGCTTCGGGTTCGGATGATCAGCACTTGAACATCTACGCCTACCAACCCGACTCCTCAGCAGCTCCCTTTGCGCTCAGCACCACCATCGACACCGGTCATACCGCCAACATCTTTTCCGTCAAGTTTATGCCACATTCCAATGATCGAACCCTAGTCTCATGTGCCGGGGACTCCCAAGTCCGCGTCTTCGACATTGAGTATTCCAGTAGCAATGGGCATCTGGCTGGAAATTCGACCTTCGCTTCATCGGCAAGAAGTCGACGCTTTCAGAACTTCTTCAACACCTCTCACTATTTGAGCCCGATAACCACCAATGCAAAAGTTTATCGTAGTCATGCCGACCGGGTCAAGCGCATTGTTACTGAGTCGTCTCCGCATCTCTTTCTGACCTGTTCGGAGGACGGAGAAGTTCGCCAATGGGATCTGCGACAGCCCTCATCGGCCTATCCCAAACCTCGGGGGGGTCAGGGCTACATGGCTTTTCGATCGGGACAGGATCACGATGATTCTAATGTGCCCCCTCCGCTGATCTCGTACAAGAAATACCGCCTGGACCTCAACACCATCTCATGCTCTCCTAGTCAACCACATTATATCGCGCTGGGCGGTGCTCATCTACATTGCTTCCTTCATGATCGGCGTATGTTGGGTCGGGACCTCATCGCTGAGAGGGGCGCATCAAGTACTTCTCCTGGGAGTAGTAGCCAAGGAGCAGATATTCTGGATGACGCGACGAAGTGCGTTCGCCGGTTCGCGCCCGATGGGCAGGATCGCATGAAGACTCGGGACGACGGCCATATTACAGCCTGCAAGATCAGTGATGCAAATCCGAATGAGATGGTGGTCAGCTGGTCGGGCGACCATATCTATAGCTTTGATCTCATCCGCAGCGCAGATGCGAGAGAAGCGAGATCGCGGCAATCATCAGTGCGGGAAACACCCGCGCCACGGAAACGTCGATACAGCAAAAACCGCAAACGAAAGCGACACAATTGCACGTCAATGTCATCCGACTCGAGTGGAAACCAGCCTCCCTCCAGACGTCGACCCAGAGACCGTCAGGATGAAGGCGAGTTAGCATTTCGCGTGCGTTACGGCAATGGAGAGTCAGAGGACATTCCTATCCCATCTCTGACGCAGCGTCGGGCTGAGGTTCCGGAGAGCTTACTCGAGCAATCGAGGCTGGCAGTGCTCAGTGACGCTCAAAGACTCAGCATGCGTATCGCCAAAGAAGTAGTCAAGCTTCGCAAAGCTATTTTCTCGCTCGATACGTCAGCGCGCGAAGAACTTGAATTAGCCAGTGCAACAGATCTGACACCGTTTGGCGAGTCCTTTTCCACAGCATTGGGTCATGCGTCGATCTGCCTGCCGCAGATGAGTACGGTCATGCGCACATGGGGCTATCCACTCAATCCTTCTTCAGATATGGTGCGCTTTCAGCAAACTCTGCGTCGTAACCGGGAGTCCGCCTGGAGCTTTGTCCAGGCTGCAGGAACGATAGCTCGAGCTCTAGGAGGCGAGCTCCAGAATACGCCTGGGAACGTGGACAACGAGATGGAGCAATTCCAACAGTTATCGCCGCTGAAGGTTGAATATGCGCCCGATCGCAGAGAGCACTTTGGTTATGACTTTATCAAGGCTATCATACTTTATGTGAAAGGGGGTCGAGAAGCTCTGCTGTCAGGCTTCAAGCGTGGGCCCATTCGTCGGGACACACTCAGCAGATTCCCTATCCCTGAAGCCGCAGATGACCGTGCGATTGAGTCAACCCTCATTCCTTATCTTCAGCGGCTAGCGGGAGAGGCCCCGGTGGTGAATGTTGATGCATCTAGGTTCGAACACGACGAGGCCCGTATTCTTTTTGCGACGCAACGCGAAGCGGTAGCCGCCTTCGCCACTGCGATCAGATCGCCCGCTCAAAGCCCGGTTGACGGCGGAGCATCGAACGGGGCCACGCACGGCGGGGCAGCTTACAGGGCAAACTCTAACGAGACACCTACCCATGCCCCCGATTTGTTTCAGCTTACACAGTTTTGGGTGCTGAAGGTGGCTCGCGGCATACTCATGGAGAGCGGGACCGGCGTCAACTATGCTTTTGTTAACAGAGCCTTCGGTGGCTTTCGGGCCACGGTGACGCCTGGCTCTGAATCAGATATGGATCCGGAGAGGTCACAGAACGATCTGGAAACAAACATGGAAGAGGAACCTATTCGCGATGTCCGGTTGAAAATACTCCGGGGCCAGCAACTCAGCAGAGAAGAATCCGATGACTGTGCCAGCGAAGCGACCGAGTCAGTGTCGTCTCTACAGGGCATCCCAAGCTTCCCGGGGTGGTTGGACATGGGTAGTGAAACCGAGAACGACTCGGAGGACGATGAACAGGGCGGACTTGACGATAATGAGGACGATGACGAAAACGAGATTGACGATGATGACAATGATGAGGAGGAGGAGGAGGAAGAGGATGAGGATGAATCTGACCTGGACTCGGATAGTCCAGCGAACGACAGCGATGACGACTCGGAGGCCGAAAGTCGCATGTTCAGGGAGTACGGGCTGCACCCCAGACAAAGAGAGTATGTGCACCTGGATGTTCCTTGTTCCTCACATACGCGCGTGTATCGCGGTCACTGCAATGTCAAGACAGTCAAAGATGTCAATTTCTACGGGTTGGACGATGAGTTTGTCGTTAGTGGAAGCGACTCGGGCCATGTTTTTATATGGGATCGGAAAACATGCAAGCTAGTCAACATTCTAGAAGGCGACAGTGAAGTCGTCAACGTTGTCCAGGGTAGGTTTGCCGAAGACAGGAACCGTTGATGCTCAGTGGTTAACGATCCTATGCAGGACATCCCTATGAGCCTACTATAGCCGCTTCTGGGATTGACAACACCATCAAGATTTTCTCACCCGATCGCCGTGCTCAGGATGATGCGCGCCGTGGAATCAACATTCTTGATCCCGATAACCCCGCCAATACGCTTGGGCCTAATGTGAGAGGGATTGGAGGGTTGGCCACTCGCAAACGCTTACACGACAGTTATCGAATCATGAATCAGAATGATGTTGATCGACAAGGCGGGATGAGCGAGGCGTCGATCACCGTACGTGCATCCCCTGGCGTCGGAGTGATCCTCATGCTGATACTTGTGCAGAGACATATGCTAGCCCGTCTGGCTACCACCTTGCGGGATCAACAGTACAATGTGGAGCCTGGTGGGGAAGGGGAACATGCCACCCTGGTTTTGGACGAGAACAGCTGTCATGTAAGTGAGAATAGCGTTGGCCGGATCGAACAGGAATTGATAGTTGTGATGCCTGCAGGTGATGTGAATCGGTGGGTCTTGCCTAACTGTCTCGGCCTACACGGTGGCCTCGAACCGGTCAGTTGGCTGGCGACATCTCCCTCTCCCTCTCTTTCTCCCTCGCTCTCTCTCTCTGGTCTTTTCTTCAAGTCTGATCCCCCTATCATCGTCTTACTTGGTTTACGCTGTACTGTTGCCATGCAGCCTTTCGCAGCATGTAGCTTGGCTGTCAACATGCGTTCCATTACTGGAGATATTTCGGTACGAAAAGCAGTTCAAAACACAAAATCACATCATCCTCTCTGAAGATCCTTCATGGATATGAAGTAGAACTCGTACAACGCTTTGAGGTATTTAGTTCCATGTAGGTTACTCCTGTAGGCTCGCTCTAGCTCCACGTGACCGTGTCCTTATCGGTTCCCCGCATTTTCGGTCCCTCATCCTGAATTTTTCCTCCCCTTCGCCTCGCGAGATTGAACGAACAGATCAGGATTCTCCGACAGTCCAAGATGCAAGCCCTGCAGGAGCGAGCTGATACAACAGCGCGGCTCTACGGAGATCCTCACAACCCACACCTTTACTATGAGCGAGGTCTCGTGCATGAGAAACTGGGATTCTCCGATCTAGCGTCGGCCGATGCGTACCGCGCTTTATCTCTCCTCGACTCGGTCGTTGACCCGGACGGCTGCGAATTCCACGCTCGACGCAGGATTCAAGATTCTCCGGAGACCGCAGAGTCAAAGGCTCGCGAAAGTAACGACGACGACGACGACGACGACGACGATGATGACCAGTTCACTCCACTTACGCAGTCCGAATACGATGCCCTCATTCACCCCGTCTACGCCTTATTAGTCCGCTCCCTCGTCAGCTGTGGCTGCTTCCGTGACGCCTATGAATTCTGTGCACGGGGATTGAGTAGTATTGGTAGCACTAGCGACAACCAGACCGCCTCAGACCGGGAAGCCCACGCCACCTTAGCGGCACAGCTGGCGACATTGCAACGGGAGTTCGCCCGCCGACGCAACCTCCCTTCCTCTACCACGGAGATTGTGATTGACGATCCCAGCGCCCTGCCGGCGCAGGGACTTGCCCGCCGCGTTCTCTACCCCTGGAACACGCACGAACCCGACCGCAAATCCCCCGAGACTCTGGCTCTCCTGAACGAGAAGCTACGGACGGTGGCGCCCAAGTGCGAGGTCCGGGCTGTCGCATTACCGGCGCTGCACTCTATCACCACCACCACCAAGCCGAACCCCTCCTCCTCCTCCTCCTCCTCCGAACAAGACCAAGAACAAGAGCAGCAAGGAGAAGTCAGCATCCAACTGGGCCTCTTCGCCAAAGAAGACATTCACCCCGGCGAAACCATCCTCCGCGAAAACTCGCTGTTGACCGCCACCAACCGTCTCCACGACGACCTGTGCGACGCCTGCAATGGCCCGCTCCCCGAGCTCTCGGCCGACGACCCGCCCGTGGCGTGCGCCAACGGCTGCGACGACACGATCTTCTGCTCGCCGGCCTGCCACGACCAAGCCCAACAGGTCTACCACGGGGCCGTGTGCGGGCTGATGGAGAACCTCGAGTCCATCGGCAAGGACATCCCCGACCCGAAGGACAAGGCCGACTCCCTGTATCTGCTGCTGCTGGGGCGGGCGCTGGCGATGGCGGCGACGCAGGAGATGCATCCGCTGGAGCTGGGGGAGGTGAAGTTCATCTGGGGCGATTTCGTGGATTTTGATGTGCTGGACCACGGCGCTGCTGCTGCTGCTGCTGCTGAAGATGGCACCCTCCCCTTCTCCTTCCAGCTCAACATCCTCCAGCCCATGCGCCTCCTCGAGGAGATGGAGATCGACCCCTACGCCAACCTCCGCCTTTACGACACCTGGGTCCTCAACACCCTGTACGCCAAGTTCCGGGGCACCGCCTCCGGCCGCCTCTCCACCTGGGACGGCGGGCCCGAGCTCTGCGCCGTCCACCCCCTCTGGTGTCTGGCCAACCACTCGTGCGACCCCAATGTCCGCTGGGAGTGGGGCGGCGAGATCACCTTCGTCGCCCGGGCGGAGGCCGAGCGCGCCGTGTGGAATCTGCCCTCCGGTGCAACCACCTCTGAGGCGGAGGCTGCGCCCAAGTGCAGGCGCGTCGGGGCGGGGATCAAGAAGGACGAGGAGATCCTGAACCATTACTGTGATATCGAGCTGGGGGTCAATGATCGTCGGGAGTGGGCCCGCGGCGCCTTGGGCGGGTTCTGTCTGTGTGAGCGGTGTCGGTTCGAGGCCGGGGAGATGTGATGTCCGATTTTTCGTGTCTTGTGCATTGTGTGTACATGTGTTAGGATGGTAGGAAGGGCGAGGAGAAGCGGTGTGTGGGGTTCCTGTGCTTCATAGATTGCGGTGATTAGAGATCGATTTGAGATACCCCGGGTGGTGATATATATACATATACAAGAAGCTAGATATATAGAAGTGGACAGGACAGGACAGGACAGAGCAGAGCTAGTTAGCTGCCATACATTTGGTGTGATGTGCGTTGCTACTGTGCAGGAAGTCTATAAGGTATCATATCTTAGAGTGAGTATTGAACATAACTAAGGCCTGGATGATTTGTCTTGTGGATCGCTTCAAACTAGATACAACTATAGGGAGTGCCCCCTGATGATATAACCTTAAAACCCATCCCGTCCCGATTCATCCCATAATAAACACAACAGTAGCAAAATGAAAATCACATTTTGAAGTCTTCCCTTCTTGACCCTCTTGACTCAAACTGTCACTCATCGATGCATGTATGCACCACTAGTCACGGCCTCGGCGGGGTGGAGTCTGCGAGGGCGATGCACGGCGGCGCACGGGCGACCGCGAAGGGGACCGCGAATCCGAGTACCGTCTCCGACCTCCTCCTCCAGCCCGCGGTGGTGGTGCCGGTGAGCGGGACGCGCTCGCATCGCGACCCCGGCGGATGGGCGCAGGCGGCCGCCGCGCCGACACCGACACCGACCGGGTCCGAGACCGGGACCGCGAGACGCTCCTGGCAACCCGCCTGCGGGGAGGAGAAGGCGATCGGGATTCGGAATACCGGCGGGCCCCAGCACGGGCGGGGGGCGCGCCGCGGCGCGCAGGGGGCGGGCTCACGGACCGAGAGGGCGATCGGCTGTAGCTGCGATCGCGGCGAGGGGGCGCTGGACCGCTGCCGCCTTGTTTGCGGGGTGGCGTGGCCGAGCGGGATAGGGAACGGGCTCGTCGAGTTGGGTAGGGACTCACACTCCGACGAGGGGAGCGGGAATCGTAGGAGCGATCCCGGCCCCGGCGCGGAGGGGGGCTCCGCGAAACGGATGAGCGTTTGCGGGGCACAGGCGATCGCGACCGAGACCGGCTGTATGAGACTGAACGGCGGCGGTTCTTGGAGACCGGCGAGCGAGACCGCGACGGCGTGTAGCTGTAGCTTCGGCGGGACGAGCCCGACACAGAGCGGCTGGTGGACCGGCCCCGACTGACGGAGCGTCTGCGGCCGCGGCCCGGCGAAGGGGAGCGGGAGTAGGAGTAGGAGCGGGAGCGGGAGCGGGAGCGGGGCGAGCAAGTCGAGCAGCTGGTGGGATGCGATGAGACGGAATCCGCGTCGGACTCGTCGCCTCCATCGCGTTGAGGCAAGGCAGGGATGGTGGGCTTGGGCAGGTTCTTCAGGTGCTCGCGCATGTCTTCCGTCAAAATACCCATACCGATACTGGTGAAGTAGTTGATCGAGAAGCGGGTGTTGCGTGGGTTGTCCGTCGGGAACATACCCTCGAAGCTGGGGCGCAGAATCTCGTCGCGCATGCGTTCTTGCAGCTTGGGCAATCCCATATGCTCGGCCAGGTCCTGGAACAGGATCTTGACGAAGATACGGCTACTGGACGTCGTTTCTTCTTCATTCATGTGAATGATGGACATCACATGCCACCCAATGGCATCGGTACTGATCATGTGACCGAAGAAGCGGGCGATGTTGCGTAGTCGGTTGGTTTCGTATCGGTGGATCGTGTCGTAGTATTTGGCAAAAGCGGTCTCAAAGAGGTCGGACCAGAAGCGGTTGATCTTGGCGAATCTCTCACCGATCAAGCCGTAGAATTTGGAATAGGTGCGCTCCTGGGAGCAGCACTCGATGACCATCGATGGAAGCTCGGACTCGAGACCCGTGGGTAGGGAGATCTTCATCAGCTTGTGGCAACATTCCTCGAAATCTATACTGGACATGATAGTCAGGTAAATCGTTCTCCGGAGGTTGACAAGGTCTGCGTTGGTTTGATCCTTGATGTCCATCTTCCGCTCTTCTTCCGACTCCTCATCCGAGCTGTCATCATCCTCGTCCTCGTCCTCTTCATCGTCGCTGCCTTCTCCTAGGATATCCGCCTTCAGCTTCTTGTAGGCCTCTTCGTGCTCCTCCCATTGCGCATCATACTTGAAAATGTTCAGCCCGTCCTGGGTCTCGATCTCATCGTCAAGACCAATCTGGTGTGTGATCTGATCTTCTTCTTCGATAAGATCCAATTCCTCCTTGATCGCCGGGTTGTCCTTGTATCTGTCCTTGCGAACCTGGAACAGCACTTCGATCATATACTGCACACGCTTATCGATGTCCGCCTCGTGAAGAATGTTGCGGAATTGGTCGAAAACCGCGAGCGCAATGGGTCCGCTCATCTCCTCCAGATGCTGGCCAACTTCCCGTGTAAGTCCAACCGCAATCTCAACACTGTCGTCCGTGGGCTTGTGGAGCAAGAGAAGGAGGATCTGGGCAGCCAGCATCTCGTGGGCAACCTGCTGGTTGCACAGATGGGCGATGAAGGTGGTAGAGGATATGCAGACAGCCTTGTCGTTTCGTTTAAATGCCTTGCGGAACTGTACAATCAGCCGGTTGAGCAGGAGCTCTCCGACCTGCGGCAGCTTTGTGTTGACGATGGCAGCCATGGCAGCGTAGATGGGCGTGAAGGGCAAACTGGCCGCCTGAGCTTTCATGATGCTCCTGCAGAACAGACCGCGGCCGCGCACCAAGTTCTCACCAAACAGCTCCGGAACAATGTGCTTGATGTTGGAAACATTGACCTTGTTGATCAGACCATTGATCGACTTCTTCAAAGCCTCCCATGCCATCCGCTGATATTCCTTGCTGGTCTTATCGGTGATCTGTGCCTGCAGCGCACGGAGTCGAGCGGGAGGAATGTAGGTACCGCCCGACCGCATGTTCAAGAGCTTCTCATACTCGGCTTTGGCGGCCGCCTGCTTTTCCTCTTCCGTCATCGGCTTCCTCGCGGCCGCTTCCTGTTTCTCATGCTGTCGAACGCGATCCGCAAGCTGACGCTCTCGTTCGATGGCACGCTCCGGGTCGATGCGCGGTGCCTCGAGGCCGCCATCGTGCGAGTCACCTGGTGGCGAGCGGCGACGGTTGGGTGAAGGAGATCGAGAGGGAGGTGAGCGTTTGCGAGATGCTGAAGGTTGGGGAGAGTAGGGGGCGTCTGGCGGCGGAGTCGGCACTCGCACCGCAGACTGCAACACAACGGGATCCGTCATCTTCGTTCGGGGTCAAAATCCAGGATTGCCCTGACAGTGGTGGTGAACCCGCGGGATAACACGACGTTGGTCGGAGCTCTCGTGATGGGCGGCGGCGAAAGAAGGGAAAGGAAGTCTTAGCGCGGCCCCCGTCGCGATCACGTGAGCGCGGTTGGAGCCAGGCTGGCGGGCTTGCCATGCGATTAGGAGCCCATCCTCATTTATCCGTCATCCTTCTGCGTTTCTCGCTCTCCCTTCATACACTCCCGCGGCTCCTTAATAGATCATCATTATGGTATGTGATGCGTGGTTCTACTTCTGCTGAGCAATCTATGAGATGGCAGTTACTTACACTGAGCAGCTGGGCACTCTTGTCGGATCCGCCATGCTTCTGGTCGCGACCGCGATCTTCCTCTACTATACCACGTGGACTCTGTTGATGGTATACTTGCCTCCTCTTCCCTTCTCACAGCATAGCTGTACACAATTGCTGATCAGTTTATTAGCCCTTTGTTGATCCCGGCCACCCTCTCCACGACCTTTTCCCTCCGCGTGTTTGGGCCATCCGGATCCCCGTTTTCCTCACTCTGCTTGGTTCCGCTGTGGTCGGCACCTTCATAGGCATTGTGATGATCAATAGCAACAAGAAGAAGGCTGCCAAGGCACAGGCAGCTGCTGCAAAGAAGAAGACTTGAGATCTAATATCGTGGGACTTGAGACTACGTGGAATTAATTGTATTCGGTTGTACTTATATTCTCCGTGATGTTGGCAATACAATTTTGAAATGGAGTTTTGCTCCAGGGCTTGCGCTCCAGGCAGGCTTCATGGCAGGCTTCATTGTCAGTTCTCTCCGATATAGAGCCATGGGTGGTAAAAGGCCAATGCAAGCTATGTGCGAGGACTGATATAGGGGGGGTTGCCCCATACTGGATGCTAGCCCACAGCCAGTCATCTTAATATGTGGGCAGGTGATAAGCACAGTGTGGGGTTCTGTAACGGAGTATTTGTTTGCCATGGAGTTGCGTAGTGCTGCTCAGGCCTAGGGAAGCATTGAAGTCCACGCGTTGGTCAAACATTCGTAGCTCTTTGCCCGTATACCGTGCATAAAAAGTGGAGCCAGGTGGACTATCATCACGTGCTCGAAGCTGGGGTTTTTTATAATGGCACCGTCAATAAAATACAATAGAATGCAATACCTCATCTCGACTTGCTGAAGTCAATCCTCCGATACGCTGGGTGCAACCGCCAACCGTAACTTCGTGGTCAGGGCCCCAGCCTTACGGGTCTAGACACCAGGGCAGAAACATTGCACTACCTTTCAAGGTAGGTCTAGATTCCATCCATGGGACAGGGCCGTAGAACGTCCTACCAGGGCGTAGGCATAAGCACCAAACAAAGCAAGGCAACCTCAAGCCTGCACCGATGAAACATGCTTAGCTCAATTAGCTCGTACAGTACATTGTGACTGGTCTTATAGACTGATCGTTACATTAGTCTCGCAGTGTATCGGTCATAACCATGCAGTATTGCAGGCATCCTGATTCCGCATTGGCCCAGAAGCGGGAAGGTTATTATGATAGAGCAGCATGATGTGGGTTCAACACAACCTTGCTGGAAAGCCCGTTGTCTTTGGTACTTTACGGCTGGATACTGTCTGCGGATGTCGAAGTATCCTCTCGGGCAGCTAACAGGGGGGGGGTTGCTGTAATTATCACTCAACAGATGCCAAAAGACTTGATAAAAATGGTAAAATAGGGCCGAGGAGTCAACAACAGTCGATACTCTACTGTGCTTATAGTAACCCCAAAATCGCTTGATATATGTGGGAATGGAAAGTCCCTCGTATTAGGCAGACAGATCCGTCAAGATTCAGTGATAGCAGAGCTCAGATCGCTGGCTCATGTCCGGAACTTCCATCTCGAGGGCAAACGAGCATGGGCTGTAGTGGAAACTGTTAAGGCGATGTCAAATCGCGGTTTAGAATCCCAGGAAAAGATCATCGTATGTCTGACTCCGCTTCATGAACAAAAACAACCTATCGCAGAACACGCTGTCCCACAAGGTCTCTCAGCGGCATTTTAAAGAAAGGCGGACTCTGTATTATGAGCGGTGGATAATCTGAGGACCTAATTGGTATATGAAACAGATATTCCTTGTACTGCTCCGTACGTGGGCTCAAAACGCATGGAACAACCTTTTTCAGAGGCTCTTGTGGCCATTTGGTAACTCCCAATGTTGACACCAATGACTGAAAGGGCACGCCATCAGATGACCTGGATCTCGTTACTAAGCCGGAGAATGAATGCTTTGGGACGCGCGAATGCAAACTGCTGCCCGAGGCAAGTCTGGCAACAAAATGGCATCATCGTTGAACGATAACATTTTCGTCCTCAGTTAAGTAAGATTCCGACTTCCCTGCCAGTCCAGCTGCATTCCTCAGGTCCCCCTGCAAGCCAACCGCGTGGTAATGGAAGTAGCACCGATGACGAGCTGTGCGATCATTCGATGAAGGGAGATCCTTGGATACGGTAGGTCACAGGTGAGGCGCTGCTGGCTTCCCAGGGATTCAGGAGAGACCTGCCCAAAGAGGGTGTGGGTAATGTCATGTTGATATTTTGAGAGACATTGGTCAAATCTCAAGTTATATGAGAGCGAACACCGGGGGAATGGGCAGCCACCACGTAAGATTTCAGTCACAGCCCTGTGAGGGATTGAGAGAGGAGAGGGGGACGTGCCAATGACCGACGGGGGCCTTACAGATGATGGCAGTGCAGCAGCGTAGCCTGGAGGCGGGGGTCCCCGTGACTTGAAGGGGGAAAGGGTCAATGACCCGACCGCCTTTTTCAAGCCCCCCCCCCCTCTCCCGGAATAGTTGGGCCCGGCCGGGGAACGCTCCTCACAATAGTTAGCCACCAGCTGAAGTCCAATACCTCAAGAGTCGCGAGTCCCTCTCATGCGGATCCACTGGAACCTGGAAGATTGGGGGGATACAGGCAAGGACTGTTCCAGTCCATCCATGGTCAACAACACATGCACAGGTGGTGACAACTGTTTGACTGCATCATTCGCCATCTTTCACGTGACTGCGAGGGACCCGCGTTTCGGCGCGTCGGGCTTGCAGTGTTTGTCGGTTTTGCAAAGGGCGCATGCATTGATTATTACCCCTCATGCGGGCATTGCACTGGGGAGGACCACTGGGGGGGACCACTGGAGTCCGATCCGTGTATCTATTGATTGTCCTGCTTCATACCGGTACAGTGGGGAAAGGTATATGGATCAACCGAATACTGTACGGTATGGTAACTGCAGATCATTGACTAACCACAAGGAGAACCCGATCAAGGCAGCCAGATAGAGTGTGTGAGAGAGAGAGAGTGCCCTGATAGTGGTAGAGAGTCTAGTACTCTACCGGTAAAGAGGAATCTGCCTGAGCGGTCTCCCGGGTTTCTTCGTGACATGACCAGCTTGCGTCATGTTAAGACGGTCATACCTAGACTTTCAATCATTAGTAGTGTATACATGCCTACGAACTAATGACCAATGATCATTTGCTCCGCGTCATGTGGTGAGTCGGTCGGGAACCTTACGGACGAACTGAGTGTAGCTAGTGTATGAGGTACAGTACTAGATACAGTACACTATGTATGTACTGTACGTAGTTACCGGCAGTAAACTATAGTAACTACTGATAGGAGATAAGTTTACTAACCATGGAGATGTCATCCATGCTCCTGACCCTGACCCGGTTCCCCTCCCCCTCCTTTCCTCCTTCTCCCTATTTCCCTTTCCTCCGGATGATAACATCTTTTCTTCCTTATTCTACCTACTGTGATATCATTGCTACTTGTCTACCACTTGCTTCAGCCTCATATTTAACATAAAACATACCCCCGTGTTTACCTTTGATATCGTGGACAGACGGTTACAGCTGTGCTGCCGAGCTGTCCTGTATCTCAGATCTACTATCTACCGGCGTATCAGTGAACGGGTCCCCGCTCTAGATACGTTGCTGGTCGCGGCTTGTCGTTGCAGCTGCGACAACCCGACACGCTTCTTACGCGTCTTTGACCTCGAGTACATTTGCATCCGATACACTTCCTGCGTAAGTAGTCTCCTGAAGCGCTCGCACATTCCTGTCCGTCGATGAGTCATGAGTCATGCTGATAAGCGTTTGTTGACCTTCGCAGCGTTGCCTCCCAAAGGCTTTCTCTACAACCCTGCAGACCCGGCCTGAGCGTGATTTTCGTTGCAGGTTGACCATATTGTCAGACCCGTTCTCAGACCTTGCTGAGGCCTCTGAGAGCGGTCACCTTCTCCAAACCATACTGCCTCTTAGCAGGCAGACCCTCCATTTGAATGCCACCGGCAGCTTCGGACGATTTGTTTCGCCAGCAGAGCCGGTCCCCAGGTGACACCATTCCTCCCGAGGATAATACCCGTTTGAACCTGGAGCATGAACTCGGGGGAAAGAGCAAGAAGAAAGGAAAAAGCGGATCGAAGGCCAAGGCTAAAGCGGCGAAAGCAGCGGCCAAGTCCTCACCGGGCGACCTGTAAGTCCGACATTGCAAGCATAAGTCACTCTACCGCGCGAAACAAAGCTAACAATGGATCAACCTTGTGGTCTACGCTACAGAGAGGAACTCTCACCACCTCTGCTGGCAGAGCCGTCGTCTTGTCCAAATCCTACATTAGAGCCTCCGACTAGTCACAATATTGTGTCCCCCGTTCTCGATGCCTTGGACTCTTTCGGAGATTCCCCAGAGAATGATGTCACCTACCGGACGGATACTTGGGCCAAGTCTATTCCTTTCGGCAAAAGCCCCCCTAATGACGTGACAGATGGTGAATTTGCTAGCGGATCACCGTTTGGGTTTCTCACAAGTCATGATAAAGGCGGGTTCAGCCAGCCTTCATCGGCCTCGCCTTCCAGCAGGACAAGGCCTCTGAGTTATGGACATGGTTACTCTACTAGTAATACGTCCAGGCAGCCGTCTGCAGACCGGCACAAGAGCAATCCTGTCAGCAGCCCATTCAACAACCAGATACCCTTGCCCCATTTGCCGCAGGCCCACTTCTATGGCGCACCAGATATCGAGTTACCCATGTCGTCTGCACAAAGTAGGCCGATCAGTGATGGGGGCTACTCTTTCTGTGCCTTTGATACAATTTTGAGCCAGTGGTTCAAGGCGTCTAGGATAGGGAGCAACGTGCTTCTTGTCGGTACAGACGGTGCTCTAGATATTCTTGCCATAGAAGATCAGAAGACTCGCCTGGTGGGCAAGCTGACGGGCCTGAACGGTCGGGTGATCGAGGCCAAATTGCTGACCAGTACCTCGGCGAATGACCCGAACTTCGCATCCAGACCACATATTGCCGTTGTCACTCATGGACCCTGTTCTGTACCCGATGATGAGGGCCACGCCTCCTCTACCGGTTCCGAAACAAACGAGATCCCAGCTGGTCGACCGTCAATCTCTGGTGGTCGTATCAGCAAGGACGAATTGAAATATTATCAAACAAGAGCCGATGTCTATTCCCTTAGAAATGGAGAGCACATTACAACGCTTCTGACGACACCGCCGGTCCAGTGCTTTGGCAATATTCCAGGAATGCCGTCTTTGGCTCCGCTGCCTGTGGGCAACCTGAAGCTTTACGCTAGTGGCAGTTACGTTATTGTGGCATCCGGGTCAAGTGGAGAAGTCTACACTTATGGCATAGGCAGGTATCAGTGTCTCGGCAAGATGTGGACGAGTATTCAATCAAAGGAATCTCGACGGTACTCGACCTCTTCTAGCTCCACCGATCCAGATGGTTCGCAGTCCGACTCACCTCACGGACCTCCCAACCATGACAACCCAATCGTATCTCTCAGAGGAAGGTGGCTGGCCACGGTTCCGCCATCTACCACTTACAGAGCATCCCTTCGTGCAACGGTTCCTGCAGCTCTCCTACAGGGAAAGACTATTGGACTTGAGACTCGTAGCCCGCCGTCCCGACCAGTAATAACATGCGCTACTGACGTCGGCGAGGGTGAGAGCTTCTTTGGCAAAGTCGCCCGAGGCGTGACACAAGAGCTTATGCGTGGTGCTCGCTGGATGGGTGATCAGGGACTGCAAGCTTGGAACAATTACTGGAACAAAGAGCAGGCACAAAGCGTTTCAACACGTCGATCTCCCAACCTGATGGATTTCTCACCGCAGGGCTACAACATCTTCCCCCCCACGCACTCTCAGGAAACTCAGACCGCATCCCCTGCTGAGCCGGATCTAGTTTCAGTGACGGACTTGCAAAGACTAGAAGAGGGCACTGAGACAAAGAACGCTTTGTTCGGTTCCATGACCACATTTCAAGTGCCCAATGGCTGTAGCTTTCTTTCCTTCTCTCCCAATGGCTTGATGTTGCTTACGGTGAGTAAGAAGGGAGACGTCCAGTATGTTTGGGATCTTCTGCAGGCGAAGTATTGCCGGGCAGGGGCTTTACTCTCCGACGACCCCACATCTGCGCAACCGAGCGTGCGGCAGGTCGCAAGGTTTTCGCGGTTGACAGCATCTCGCATCATCGACGTGGTATGGTGTCCTCCATCCGGTGACAAACTCGCAATCATCACCAGTAAGCCCACGGTGCATGTGTTCGACCTGCCACGATCCGCCTTCCAGTGGCCCCCTTTCCGTCGAGCTAGACCACAGCCTCCCAAGGCCCCTATGAATGATCTTCCAGCTGAGGAGCTGTCTGACCGGGCGGCCGCCGCGAATCCCTTGTCGGCAGCCTTCAAAATGGTTGGAGGTAAGACACAGCCCATCCTCGCCGCAGTGAGGGGTCGTGCACCTTCAACTGGTGCGGCCTTCAACTCGATGGGTGGATTCACGATCCCTTCTACTGCTGGTGTTAGTGGCAAGGCCGTTGCCGCTGGTCTGAGCAAATCAATGGGGGCTGCCGCGACCGGCACGGTCAAAACAGTCAATACATTTCGACATGGTGGTGAGCATCGCCTGCATCTGTCCGGGCTCTCCCGTGACCCAGTTGCATCCCGTGTAACCTGGGTAACCAGCAAGGGCTTGCCCTTCCTGGGGCTTCTAGACGGAGGGTTCTTCCGCCTATATCGAATTAAGCGCTCAGTGTCCGCCAATCGGAATCGGCAGCTGCAGTCAGCGATTGGAGAAAAGGCATTGGAATTTCGACTACCCCCAATTCTGCAGACACCTTGCGGCCCTCTGACCGTTGGGACTCTCGGCGCAGAAACCAACGTCTGGGCTACTATGGCTTTGCCCTCTTCCACTGCCCGTCCCCCAGCGTCATCGAAGCTCAAGTCTCAGCCCCTCTCGCAGGCAGAAATTGAGACCAACACACCATATCAGCCTTTCCACACCGACCAGAGGGTAAACCTTTTTGTTTATTCCGAAATGAATGACGCAGAAACATCGGTCCCCATTGGTCAGTGGGTCTTTGGAGGCTCTTTGCCGACGTCTAAGCTCCACGTCCGTCCTTTCAGCTCCCACAGTGAAGACGATGAGGACGAGATGATGCAGGAGCACCACCAGGGCTTCGGTGGGGAGATGGAAAATCTGATCAGCCTCGGGAACAGTACCGGAAACGTTGAAGAAGTGGTAATCACAACTCGCCGGAAGAAGAAAGCAACTTCAGCCTTGGCCTCGGGCAATGGAGTTGACGACGGATTTTTCGAGGATGACTGTGAAGTCCTGGATTTTGCGCGAGACCGGGTCTGACATCAACATTGGCCGAACATCATATTTTGGAGTGGCATCTCCATGATTGGACTAATCTACAAGTATCTAGACATTACATTGGAATGGGCGTTGGCGTGTTTGGGATTTTGATTTCCACTCTTCTCCGCTTTTACTAATGCCCATTGCATATTACCCTATAGCATTACCATCCACGCCTGCACCAGAGTCAACGATCCTTTGCTGCTCAGGGGATATGAACGACTTGGATGGCAGGACCATTGAACAAAGTCGGGCGCTGGATTCAATCATTGCATCCAAATGAACGTATGCTGCTCTTCTACCGGCGCCCTGTCTGCTCCTCTCGCGAGTTAACATTGCATTCTGAACTGTGTTTCATACTCAATACTGTACTTCAAATCAAATAGATAAGGACTCTGTTCGGGCACCGACTCTTGTATACGTGTTGCAAGCGGCGATCGACTGGACCTGGAGAGTTTTTATTTTGTGTTGATACTTTCGAGGTCGATTCATGGAATGACAAACCTTAATCATCCTTGTACCTGAAGAATGCGGGGGAAGCTCGTGTGGAGAGATGTGTAAGTAGTCACCAAATCAACCACCTATGATGAGTGGCAGCAGTCTCACAGCAGTGGAGTCGATTTGTGTGTAGACCCATTCATGATCGACACCGACTAAACCGATCCACTGCAGATTGGAGCAGTACACGACATAACACCCGTGACACTACAACCACCTGCCTGCCTCCCTGCACTTGTGGTCATCGCTCGTCCTTTGTGAACTGTCCATGCTTTTCACCCGCCTGGTCTTCCTGCTGTGTAGGAAGTGATGAAATCATGGTGGGGTTGGGAGTACAGCACAGCACCTGATTCTTGTAGGCTAATGGGTTGGCACTCGACCTTTTCCAACCTGGAAAACCAATATCATAATAGTACGAAGAACAGGATCTAGAAGGGCAAAGTCAAGATAGGACAAGATGCGACACAGATATGATGGTTATACAACAATACTAGTAGATCTTGCTAAGTGAAGCGCTTGTGGGTAGTATTAGTGACAGACAAATCAAGGTAGTAAGTTATTATGACAACACGAATAAAGTGTGTGTGCAAGAGTAGAAGTAAAAAAAGCAAAGGCTGTGTGTGTGTGTCTGAAGTGTGATATCCCATTAGAGTGCAAAAATAAAAGAACTGTGATTCATGTTTCCCTTCCTGCCCGCCCTCATTCAATCAATTTCCCATATGTACTGAGACAAAAAACGTTTGTGTGTGCCGTTTGATTAGATTTAGGCTTGTGTGATATCTCGTCCCGTCTATTTACAGAACGGGGGAGATTTACAGGGCCCAGGCGGCGAGCACGAAGCCCAAGAGACCGACGGTGGAGACACCCATCTTCAGCTGAGTGATGGCGGCCGAGTTGGAGGTCTCGCTGGAGGAGGCGCCGGTGCTGGTGGCGGTGCTGGTCGAGTCCGAGGAGCCGGACTCTGTTTTGAGGTTGTTAGTGTCATGGATTCAGGTAATGCGGTGATGCCACTAGGGAGAATAGGGAGGGGGGGGGGAACGTACTGCTGGAACCGGTGGAGGAGGACTTGCTGCCGCTGCCGGTTGTGGTGGTACCATCGTTGGAGCTGGCGGTGCTGGCGGAGGAGCCGGCGGTGGCAGTAGCGCTGGACCAGAAGTAGCTGCTCACGCAACGGCTCTGGCAGCTGGCGTAGGCGTCGGTGTCGCTGGTGGACCCGTTACCTTGGGGGCAGGCGGCAACGCAGCTGGTGGTGTCGTTGGCCTGGGAGTCGTTGGGGCACGGGACATTGTAGCACTTGGCAATGCAGCAGATGTCGCTCGAGGCGCCTGTATAGTGGATTAGAATGTGGTGGTTCTATGGCTTGGTTCTGCAGTCAAGGAGGACGGGAGGATGATGGTTATGGAGGTAGGAGATGGTTCGAGTAGAGATGTATACGTACAGGACTCGGCGCACTTGGCCTGAGCAGTGAGACTGGCAGTCGCGGTGGCAGCGCTGGCAGTGGAGGTGGAGTTGGTGTCCTGGGCCACGGCGAGCACCAGGAGAGAGGAGAGAGCGAGGGCGCTGTTGAACTTCATCTTGACAGTAGATGTGATTGATGTAGAGACAGACGTTAAGTGTACTTTTTGAGAGCCCGAAAGAAGCGAGTAACGAGCGAGCGCAAAGTATGGAATAACGAAAGACTGTTGAGGAGGAAGAGAAGGAGAAAGAGAAGAAAAGAAGAGGAGAGAGAGGAAGAGGAAGAAGAAGATAGAAGTACTCGGTAATTTGTTTGAGAAAGAAAGTAGGCAAAAAAGGAAAAACAAAACAGTGGCGGGAAATTGAATTTAGTGCCTGTTCAGTTAATTCAAGTCCTTCATTCATTCATTCAATCATTCACCAGCAACTCAAGTGATTAGCGGGGTTTCAGCCAGTGGTTGGCCTCCTTTGCATCCAGTGGCACGACTCCTTTAGCAACAACTTGGTTAAGATGCGCTGTTCGGCCTCACCCGACTCGCCGACTGCCTGACAGACGGATTCACTGATTCACTGATTCATAGATTGACTGAACTGATTAGTCCTGCTCAGTCCTGCGCACCCTTACATTAGTGGCAATTCCGACGGCCCCATGCTTGCTTCTCTCCCCCCCTAAGTCTGTCTTTTTGCTTGCCCTTGCTATCTACGATGATCTACGAAGATTCTTCTCTCGAGTGACTGACTGACCTGTTGATACTGAGTAGAAAGACTAGCTTCAGTGACGGAGGTGGCCCCGAATCCGCAAACAGATCTAAAAGAAGTCCGACTCAAAACTCCACTTCGAGTCCACTTTTCCCTCACTCAAAGGAGACAATTTCCCGGTGAAGCGCGAAGGGTGGACAGACCCTTGGGAAATCTGGGGACCAAGCAGCTCCAAGAGGGATCGGCCCCAAAAATAACCCTGGAGTGGCACTACCGTCGCTGTTAGTCTGACTTTAGCCCTCCTTAGTCTCGTTCTGCGTCCACCCATCGCTCAAAGCTCTTATCCGCCTCTTCGCTGGCTGCTCCACACCCAGGGAGAAAACTGGGCGCTGATAAGCCCGGCTCGCTCTTCGCTTGGCTAATTCAAGCCAGAACAATGAGCTGATTGAATGCTCGTGGCAGTGGCAGTGGCCGTGAGCGAAGGTCATGCGGAAAGGTCTGTCAAATCTCTCTGGAGTGCAGCCTGCAGCCTGCATAGTGCAGAGATCCTAATAATAATCTTACAGTGTAGTCTCCTTACGAGCAACCACAAGACCGCTCACAAAAGAAAAGGGCGCTTGCTCGGAACCATCAAGGTGATGGGTGATTAAAGTTCCGTGGCTGCAACACTACGGATCGCTCCTGGTCTCCATTACCCCAAGACCCCCAGATTGATTGGAGCTGCCGTCCCTCATCCCTACAGAATATTGAACCCGGTGTTACACCACAGGATCTTCAGGTGCTGCCTGGCCAAGTTATCAAATCCTGGATTTCCCCGGACATGGCAGAATCTCACACATCAGAGTTTCGATCTTCTACTCCGTATGCTTCTAAGTGTGGTGGCAATTGGAAAGTGCCAAAGTACTCAGTACGGCGTGACTAGTTAGCTTGGTCTGACTTACTGACTTAGTACCAAGGCAACTAACTGCCTTGTCCGCCATTGTGGCTCGTGCTTTACTTATCTTCTTGTTTTGTGTTGTTTGTGGTTGTTTTAGTGAGCACGCTAAATGGATAATTCACCCCAAGTTGGCTCCCTTAATTCAATAATATAGCCCAGAACATGAATGTGAAATTGCGAAGACACACTGGAAGTTTCTAGCACTCAGTAGATAACCAAATTAATGTAAAAAACATCTATCCCACTCGTGGCCATTGCTTGTGGTCAAAGAGACCAACGAAGTTCCACAACATGAGTGGGGTGTGTATACGCGACTTCGGTCAATTGAATCTGACTCTGATGACAGTCCAAGAGCACAATGGTCAGAGCACCTCACAAGTGGTATCTTGACACGCTTTGCCTCGGAAAAAAATGAGGTTTTCGTCTTCGGAGCTGAGTCTTTCCGCTGAATCGAAGTTGAGCGGAGGACGAGCGGTTACGCCAAATTAGGAAGTTATGAGGATTTCATGACTAAGCCAACATGTGATCGCGGTCCCGACGCGTCGCGTTAAGAACATGGCCAGCGCAAACCTGCAGCGGCTTTGATCCCAACGAGCCACGTTGGGTTCGACATGTCTGACCTGGAAGGGGACTCTTCCGACTATTTTGATGATGATCTCAGGGATTTCGTTGTTGACGATGACTCTGATGCCGCAGCCACGCCGACCGAACGGAGTTCTCCCAGGCCGGCCAAGCGCCGTCGCCTGAAAGCCAACAAGCAGAACCTATCACTGCGAAAGATTCAACATGACCGACGTGACACGCGAGAGACCTCACATTATTCTAGCGAAGGCGAGGACGAGGAGTTACGCTCTCCAGAGCGACCATCACATCACTTCCGCGATTCTGAGGAGCCGGAGGCGTATTCCAAGTATAAACTGTTCGTGCCCAAGAACAGAAATGTCCAGGAGAACATCTTCGTCACCCAACTCACGCAACCTCAATCACCTCCAGAGATGATCCGAGGCCCGCGATGGAAGAAGCCGGACCCAGAGTTACCTCCCCCGATGAACGTTCCGGCAACATACGCAGTGAGCGGAAGAGGCGAGTGTGATGAGACCAATGATGAATTTGACGACGATGACGCCCTAAAGGCGGCCATTGAGGCTTCGTTGCAATCATTTGAGAAAGAAAGCTCTAAAGAATTTCACAAGACAGCTCTTAATCACCTAAAGCCTTCATCGTTGGATCGCTCCTCGAGTGAACAGACAGGCGAAGCCATGGATATTCCTGCAGAATTTCTGAACGACATACCGGACGATGCCTTTGACTCCGATCTATCCTTGTCTCCTCCTCCCCCAACTCATGGTCGACTGGTATCAGGCACTTTTACGCAGAGTGTCAATCGTCCACTGGGTGTTCGGCAGACGACTTTATTTGACATGGCAGTCCGGAGTCCAGCAAACCAGCCCCCGCGAGGCGAACAGTTCATGTCACCACCCGAGAAGGTCGAGCCCCCAACACAACACAAATTAAACCAGGAAGCTTTAGATACATGGGTTTATCCCACCAATTTGGGGAAAACCAGAGATTATCAGTTCAACATCGCCCAGAAAGGATTATTCCATAACCTGCTCGTGGCGCTGCCCACTGGTCTAGGTAAAACGTTCATTGCAGCCACCATCATGTTGAATTGGCTACGATGGACCAAAGACGCTCAGATCGTATTTGTCGCGCCTACAAAGCCGCTAGTCGCTCAACAGATAGACGCATGCTTTCAAATCGCAGGAATTCCACGATCCCAGACCACAATGCTCACCGGCGAAGCTGCCCCTGGCATCAGAGCTCAGGAATGGAAGGCGAAACGCGTTTTCTTCATGACACCCCAAACCTTAGTCAACGATCTCAAGACCGGGATTGCAGATCCTAAGCGCATCGTTTTGCTTGTTGTAGACGAGGCGCATCGCGCCACAGGAGGGTATGCCTACGTGGAGGTTGTGAAATTTCTTCGACGCTACAATCAAAGTTTCCGTGTCCTCGCTTTAACTGCAACGCCTGGCTCTACGGTGGAAGCTGTCCAGGCAGTGATTGATGGGCTGGATATCTCCCGAGTTGAGATCCGCACAGAACAATCCCTCGATATCCGGGAATATGTTCATGCAAAGGACATAGAAGTGCAAACATTCCAGAATTCCGAGGAAATGGTTCTGTGCATGGATCTATTGACGAAGACACTCCAACCTTTAGTTGACCAGCTTCGGAGTCTCAATGCTTACTGGGGCCGTGATCCTATGGGACTTACTGCATTCGGATTGACAAAAGCCAGACAGCAGTGGATGATGTCGGACGTTGGTCGGAATGCACATTTCGGGTTGAAGGGCAAAGTGAATACGATCTTCACCGTTCTTGCCAGCCTTGCCCATGGGATCGATCTCTTAAAATATCACGGAATCACTCCGTTTTACCGCCACCTTGCGCATTTTCAGTCCAATACTGATGGGCAGAAGGGTGGGAAATATCAACGACAAGTTGTTCAGGATGAGAGCTTCAAGAAACTTATGAACCATTTGCAACCGTGGACTAAGAGCCCAGAATTCATTGGCCACCCCAAGCTGGAATACTTGAAGCAGGTTGTCTTGAACCATTTCATGGACGCGGGCGAAGGTGCGGGTACAGGCGAGGACCAGGCGAAACCAGCAACCAGAGTGATGATCTTCGTGCATTTTCGAGACAGCGCCGAAGAGGTAACGCGAGTCCTCAAAAGGTACGAGCCGATGATCCGACCCCATGTTTTTGTTGGACAGAGTAGCGCCAAGGGCTCAGAAGGAATGAACCAGAAAACTCAACTCGACATTGTGCAGAAGTTCAAGAACGGCACTTACAACACAATCGTTGCAACCTCGATCGGTGAGGAGGGTTTGGATATCGGCGAGGTCGACCTGATCGTCTGTTACGACTCGTCCGCGTCACCAATTCGCATGCTTCAACGCATGGGACGTACTGGCCGGAAGCGAGCGGGTAACATTGTGTTGCTTCTGATGCAAGGCAAGGAGGAAGAGTCCTATATTAAGGCAAAGGACAACTACGAGAAGATGCAACAGATGATTGCTAGCGGCACCCGATTTACTTTTCATGAAGACCAGTCCCCTCGTATCCTTCCCTCGGGGATCCGGCCTGTAGCTGATAAACGGGCGATTGAAATACCCGAGGAAAATACTGTGCGAGAGCTGCCTGAGCCTAAGCGGAAAGGCCGACCTCCAAAGAGGCCACCCAAGAAATTCCATATGCCAGATAATGTGGAAACAGGCTTCACGAAAGCGTCCAGCTTGGCTGAAGGCGGCAAGCGTAGGGAAGCAAAGAAAAGTAAGGCTCGCACGCCTACTCCAGAGCCCGTTGATCTCCCGGCACTCCAAGATGTCCTGCTTACTCCAGCGCAGCAAAACGAGCTTGATGTTCATTACAGCAAGGCAGGACAGTCCGATGCACCGTCAATCTGCAATCCTCGAACTGACGCTTTCCCGCGCCTTCAGCTCGCTCCCCGGCCTACTAAAGCAGTACAACATGGGTCTCTGACCCGCCGCATGATTGGGACCCTGCAGAAAATGGATCGAGTTTCCGCGGACTGCGAGCAGCAATACCGGCGTGTCTTAGCGCTGAGCCCGGACAAGTATGAGGATATTCCAGGCACCACCGGCGACATGAGCAGCCGTGATTGTGGTGCCAGGCGCACACAGCGCACAGTGTCTGATTTTGTTCTCCCCATGAAACGCGAGACCAATGGGGAAAGGGATGTCTCGAATCCACCGCCGAGGAATTTGGAGCACCAGCTCCCGGCTGTAGATTCAGCAGCAGACGATTCATTATTCTGCTCACAAATGACGGAGGACATGGGTGAAGACTTTCCTGACATGTCTACACTTTTGGACAGAAGCGTTGAGAAAAAGCGGCGGAGCCGCCAATTCGTCATGAGCGATGATAGCGATGATTGATGGTGGACTTTCCTATTTGGTTAAGTGCCAGTCCGCATTGGATGTTGCTTTTCGACAGGATATAACCTTCGATTGGTAGAAAAGGCTGGCCTGCCTTTTTTCCCCTGGGCATCCGTTCTATGACCCTCCAATGTACTCGCCATAGTAGGCCACGGAGAGCTCATTCAGCGTGACGAATACCATACTGCCTCTCTCGACCATGAACTTGATGCCAGCTTTAGCCTGCATATCGGGATGGCCTGCATCAGCTTATGGCCTTCTCACATAACACGTTTAGCCGATTGAGTGTCCACCGAATTGAATATTGAAGAGAGTTCACAGCACCATAAATTGGAAGCCACAGAAAGTCTCAATGAAGCTGATTTGTCTAGTCTGTGTTTCTAATTTGCTATGTTCGGGGCCGTTACGTTCATACGAAACCGTCTTACCAGAAACCAGAAGCCCTTTTACTGCAGTGTCTACCAGGCGAGAGATTGTGAGCGACATTCCATACGGCTACCTAACTTGCCTGCGGTGGTGTTATCAGTGGAGATAGCCCGGTGCGATACTCTAGTGTAGCTGCGGAGTCGTCTACACACTCCTCTGGGCAGGTCACTGTGACCCTGAGTATGTACCTCATAGACACAGATAGATATTTCAAGAAATGATACTTGTTCGATTTCCACTTGCCTATCTTTGCCTTGATCACTTCTGTGATGCTTATTCCACATCAGTAGGCTGCTATCATTGAAGAGCCAGAAAAGGACAGGTGCCTCTCTGAAAGCAAGGCATCTTCCTGTAATGGTCTGTAAAAGCCCTCCATAACAATTTTGACCTTGACCTGATAGTAGCAGACCTTTGTTGAGGCTCTTTTCAAGCATGAACAAGGCAAGTAACTGTATACTTGACTCGAGTGATAACTTAAGGGGCAGGCATTGATCGACCCGCTTTCTCCAACCAGCCGCGCTACACCGCTTACAGTGATCCACCGTCACTCCCCCCCCGGGCTGGAAAGGTAAGGTAACTGGGAAAGTAAACAGCAACCTAAACACTACAGTTTGATTTCAGCAACCCTTCACAATCATGGCTGATGCGCAATTTGATAGTGCGCTGTAAGTGTGTCCCGGCTGAACCCTTCATTCAACCCTTCACCTTCCTCCAAATCTCCCAAACAAGCTCCCCTCTCTGTCCGCATCGGCGAAGGTCAGCCCCTCGCCGTGCAACCCCGCTTGCAGCATTCCGCTGACCACCAGCATCGTGCTGCTTCTAGGGACCTCCTCCGGCGCCTCAACCCCCGCGACACCAAGCAGAACTTACAGGCAATCACCACCATTGTCCCTGACCTGACCGAAGATCTCTTATCGTCCGTTGATCAGCCCCTGGAGATCCGCCGCTGCCCCAAGACAAACCGGGATTACTTGCTCTGCGACTACAACCGGGATGGCGACAGCTACCGGTCACCCTGGAGCAACGAATTCGACCCCCCTCTCGATGACGGAACAGTGCCCAGTGAGCGGGTGAGAAAGCTCGAGGTTGCTGCCAACGAGGCCTTCGATGTCTACCGGGAGCTATACTACGAGGGCGGCGTGGGGAGCGTGTACTTCTGGGACTTGGACGATGGGTTTGCGGGCGTGATTCTGCTCAAGAAGGGTGCGTCGGCTTCTATCTCCTATACTCAACAGTCAGAGGGCTCGTGGAGCTTGGTTGCAGGAAGTGGGGGCATTTAAATGCTGGTTCGGCTCGTTGCTAACGCGATGTGGTTCGGCCATAGGAGTCACCCCTGGTGCGAAGAGCTCGGGAGAGTGGGACAGCATCCACGTCTTCGAGGCTACTGATAGAGCTCGCATGTCCCACTACAAACTGACTAGCACGGTCATCCTCCATCTGGCGAATGAGTCCGAGGCTCTGGGTGAGATGGACCTCAGCGGGAACATGACCCGCCAGGTCGAGGTCGATTTGCCCGTCGAGTCGGATGCAAGCCACGTTGCAAACGTTGGCCGGCTTGTGGAGGATATGGAGTTGAAGATGAGGAATCTGCTGCGTATGTGTTTATAACTCTCTGCACCCAGACCCAGGCGCATACTGTACGGGACGAAGGCTAATGTGGACATTCTTGCAGAGGAGGTATACTTTGGCAAGGCCAAGGATGTTGTCGGTGAACTGCGTAGTGAGTTCTCCTGCTGCGGAAATGCATGGTACCGTAATACTGACATGTTGCAGGTCTTTCGTCCTTGACGGAGGCGAACAAGGAGCGGGCTAATCACGCCGAGATGATCAGATCCATGCAGCGGTAGCCGCATTCATTGCTTGGAGTTGTAAAAGCAAGAGGATCTTTTACCTGTCAACATCATCTAGACGTTCGTCTTTCTATCCCGTGAGTTTGCCATTCACTTGATTGTATGTAGTTTTAAGGTTCCTGGGGATCCGATCATAGTTTGACTCTGGCGCTTTTAGTGTAAGGATTTTACTTGAGCCTAGCAATGGCTCAAAGCTTCGTCGTGCGGAATAAGCACAGTTGTATAAATAAGCTTGGGTATCATAGACTCGTATTTTTAACAAACCATTGTCCACGCGAATAGTTGTTGAGATCCTCCATTCGTCGACACCCGAATGCAGAGATCCGGAGTATCTGCTCAAAAGCATGCATGTGCCTGCTTCAGGCCATCGTTCATCAGTCCATCTCCATGTCTTCCTGTCCATCCTCCGTTTTCAACCCATGTCCAGCGGTTGCCGACGAAGGCCCATGCCGAGCGAGCTGCTCGACAAACTCCCTTGCCGCAGCCCACAGCTCTGCCTCTTTATCCTTCCCGACCGTGTCCTTTCGACTGTTGAGCCAGCTCACATCCAACGGGTTTGACAATGCGGCCGCCGCTGCCGCACCAGCGCCTGCCAACTCGCCTGTGCGGGAGTTCGTTGCCGTCGCGGCCGTCTCCGGCGCGAGAATCCCGGCCTCCTCGAGGGCGTACACCTGTCGTCGCAGTCGGACATCAATGGACGATAGAAGCGCAAAGTACTGCGATGTGGCCTCTTTGAAGCGTGTTTTGTGGGCGGCTAAGGAGTTGTTCTCCGCAGGCGAGTCGGTGGTTCGGGTGTTGGTAAGGGCTTGGATAGCGAGACCGGCGGAGTGGATCAGTTGTGCGACATCCTTAACACAGTTCCAATTAATACAAGATTCCAGATAGTGTTGCAGTGCTGGTAGTCGGTAGTTTGAGCTCCATTCTCGAGTAGGATGCACGTTGTCGCAGGTCTAGCTTCTCCAGATGGTAGGTAGCTTACCTTGTCGATCTCATTAAGCTGCCGAATGCGATCGGCGGAAGTAAAGATTTGGTCCGGAGACCTAGAATCGTTGCCCGACTCGGCCATGGTGCTCTGAACAGTGTAAGGCACAGTGTGAATTGCAGCAGCAAGCCAGTGATTGCTCTTGATGATGATAGGTGCATCAACGGGGCACAGTGCAATCTACCGAGCCTATCATCACGTGATGAGACCAGGGCCAGCAACACGCTAGTGCACAAAAGGGTTAGTGTTCTCGAGCTGCGGACTTCGCAAAACCTCCGGGTTGAATCGCATCCCGAACTGCTTCCCTCCCCGTCCGCGTGTCGGTCTCTTCCTCTCTCTCTTTGCTAGCCTTCTGAGCGCCGTCGCATCTTTCTCTTATTCGAACTGGACCTCCTCCGCTCGGCATATAGGAGCTCTTGTGCCCCCCGTTGAATCGACCCTATCAAATCATCCAGCAGCCATGTCTGCGCCAGGCGGGGCCCCGAGCCCAGCTCCCCGAAGTGGAAGTATGGGGCCCGGTCCAGGTGGGATGTCGATGCCTCCTCAACAACCCATGACCAACACTGGCCCTGTGACGCCTGGCCCCCCTGCTCCGCCGCCGCCGCCGCCGGGGGGACCGATGTCGCAGCAAAATCTCAATCAAATAGTATGTATTCGTCTCTCGTTCCTGGTCTGTTGTGCTCTGTGCCGCGGAAGGTGGTTCTTGCGGAGATGGGGGTGTTGTGCGGGTTCAGGCATGTTATTGTGCATTCACTTTGCAGACGTCGCCGTGAAGGTGCCGTGAAGGTGCCGTGAGGGTGCTTTGAATTTCGTACCGTTCAACGGCTATTGTCTTTATTCACAAAGAGAGAGAAGCCAGTGAAGACGTTAAACGTGTGACACTGGTTGTCCTTTGGGCTCTAAGTGTTGCTGGATCTCATCGTCTCTTCAACTAAGAAGGCCCTTGCTGTGATGTCTACATTTGATGATATCAACCAAAGTCTCTTATAATTGCTTCGCCAAATACTGACACAGATGTCTGAAAAACAGGTCATTGACTACTTGGCCAAGAAAGGCTATAGTCGCACAGAGGCTATGCTGCGCATAGAATCGGCGCATCAAGAGATTGATGGCCGCCCGCCGATGCCCCCTCTTGGCGAAGATGCGCGTCCTAAGTACCGACTTGGCTTCGGTAAGTTCGTCCTACCCTTTTCTCTCATTTGTCTAACGCTGTTATAGATTTGCTTAAGGTCTGGGTTGAAGATAACTTGGATCTTTACAAGGTATGCCCTTCATACTAAGGCCTGCAGTTAAATCATGCTTACAAGCACTCGACAGCCTGAACTCAGACGTGTGCTGTGGCCGCTCTTTGTCTACACCTTCCTCAACATGGTGTCCTCATTTAAGCCTCAAGAGGCGAAGCAATTTTTCGACATGAACAAGAACCTCTTCTTGCCGGAGCACACAGAAGATGTTCGCGCTTTGGAGCCCATCAGTCTCCCGGAACATGTTCAGGACAACGCTACTGCCAAACTCTATAGAACCAACAAATACCGCTTGGTCCTCAGCAACCCGGCATTCTCAAACCTCATGCAATTCTTAGAAAGCAAGCAGAAAGAGGGCGGATCTGATATGACTGCAATCCTGAGCAGTTACTGTACCATCATCACAAAAGAGCGCACGTCCGACGACCGATTTAGTTTCGCCGCCATGCTCGGCCAAAGTGATGGCACCCAGACATTTCCCAGCGAAGATGAGGGTATTCCCGGTCACCACCCCGGGTCTGCTTACACCGGAGATAATCCGAACATGGCCGGAACCTTGCCTAGACTGAAGCTTGGAAAATTACCACTTGAGTCGACCCTGGAGACTGACGTACGCGGCGAGCTCGCGGATGAAGACGCCAAGCATCCTCCGGGCCCGGGGCAAAACACTTTGATTCAAGAGTTCGAGCAGATGATCAAGAAAGAGGACGACGAAGAAGCGCCTACTCGCGCTGATATCCCCTATCCCCCATCGACCGCCCGAGACGTCGCGATCGAGGTCCAAAAGGTCAAAGAGAACCGCGACAGGTTTAGGATCGAAGGTAGAACCGGTGGTGTCGGGCCGGCCGTTAGTGTCTGCATGTTTACATTCCATAATACCTACGATGGGTAAGTAGTGCCTACCTTCGTGCTTGTCATGATATCCCGCGACTGACTGTATCCAGCGTCAACTGCCTGGACTTCTCCGATGACCTTATGCTCGTTGCGGCTGGTATGCAGGAGTCCTATATTCGGGTCTGGAGCATGGATGGGAAGAAGATCCAGTCGACGTACGACAATGTGGATGATGCGCCCTCGAATTCTCGTCGCCTGATTGGACATGCTGGACCTGTCTATTCTGTAGCATTCGCGCCTTCCATCACGCGTGCCGACAATGCCATTGCGCCGACTAATGCCCGTTGGTTGCTCTCTTCGTCAGCCGATCGAACTATCCGTCTCTGGTCTCTGGATCTGTGGCAATGCATGGTAGTTTACAAGGGCCACGATCAGCCCGTTTGGGATTTGCAGTGGGGCCCATTCGGTCACTACTTCGTGTCCGGTGGCCATGACAAGACCGCACGCCTCTGGGTCACCGACCACATCCGTCAACAACGTATCTTCGTCGGACACGACCAGGATGTCGACTGCGTCTGCTTCCACCCCAACTCGGCATATATTTTCACCGGTAGCTCCGATCACACCGTGCGCATGTGGGCCGTGACTACGGGAAATGCCGTCCGTATGTTCACTGGCCACACAGGAAACATCACAGCTCTGTCGTGTAGCCGTGATGGAAAGCTCCTCGCATCGGCTGATGACCACGGGTCGATCCTTCTCTGGGACCTAGCCCCAGGACGACTTCTCAAGCGCATGCGCGGTCATGGCAAGGGTGGCATCTGGTCCCTTAGCTGGAGCGTAGAATCGAATATTTTAGTCTCTGGCGGTGCTGACGGTACAGTCCGTGTCTGGGACGTGGCTGGTCCTGCACAGGATCCGTCTCAGGGTCGGGTTGTCGGTGAGGGCGGCGCGGGAACCAAGGTCGACGGCGGCAATCCTCCTGCGGCCAGCACACAAGCCTCCAGCTCCGTTGGACCTGGCATTGGAAGCAAGAAGAAGGGCAAGGATGTGGTCGTAACACCTGACCAGATCAGCGCGTTCCCGACCAAGAAAAGTCCAGTATACAAGGTCAAGTTCACCAATATGAATCTGATCATGGCTGGAGGTGCTTATCTTCCTTGAAAGGGGTCGACGGAGGAGAAGGGTTGTGTGATTTGCATGCACAGTGGCGCCAGATACCCGTTTCTCTTTTTCTTTTTGTCTTTATTTATTTCTATCTTATCACCTCAATCTGCTTTTCTGTCGAGACATCCTGTCTTCTCCCTGATTTGCATTACCGCATGTACTCGTTAGTGATTTGGCTGGATGATTTGGCGGCGTCCTGGATGCAAAATGCGAAATGGGATGGCCGGTGGGCTTTTGGTGTTTATTTGGCAGGCAGCATTATGTTTCAAAGTTGGAGCCGGGGGGGCTTGTTGAAGAAACCAGAACACAACAATACAGATCTCATTATCTTCTGTACACTTTTTTCTTCATACCTGAATTTGCACCTATACACAGATAACCCCTCTCAACAGAACATACAAGACATACACTCTAGTCGTATATACCTTCTACACCCTCTTGAAGGCCCCAACTCCAGAGCCTAGCCCAGCGCCGTCCCCTTTGCTCATGGCCGCCTGCGCCTGCATGTCCGCCACCTTGGGCGGCAGCACCAATGCACTTCGATCATTCCTCTTGTAGAAGTCCACCAGAATCTGCGCCGTCTTGGCTGGCTGGTCTTCCTGAATGAAATGGCCCGCTTCCGGCAGAACCTGTAATTGGTATTTGCCTAAAGTTTCATCAATCAATTGTTTAATGTTAGCTCTCTTTTCTTCTCAAGCCAAAACCTTTACTCGAATCACGTTACTGCAGGAAAGAACGAGTCACTGGGAATGGACAGAAAGGGGGGAGGGGGGATTTTTAAGCGTTACCTTGCATCTGCCCGATCATCAACTCCTTATCGAGCCGATCCGTCCCCGCCAGCAGGAGGAGTTTGCCGCCGCGCGCATCGAGGAACTTCCGACTCAGGCTGATGAACCAGTTCTCCCAGAAGGGCTTGGTCTCGGACAGGTTGGTGCGCCAAACCCAGGGTTTGGTGGGGTCTGTCGGGGTGGGTTGTTCGTAGAGAAGGGAGGGGACGGAGATGCGGGCGGAGGTTTTGTTGCGGATGGTGCGCGAGCGAGTGCTTTTGGTCCCGTCCCGGGACATTATAATTAGAAGGCCACTTGGAGAAGGGCGATTTGGGACGGGGTTGGTTTTGACTTACTGCCATTCTATGCCGGAGGCTATGGAAGGGAAGCGGGAGGGTCGGGTCAAGAGATATGTTTCCATGCTTTGGAGGGCGTCCATTGCGGATCCTGTTTTTGGGAGTGGTCAGGTTTACTTTCTTCAGTGGCTTTGCCTCTTGAGCTGAGGGCAATGACGACGGTGGTGGTGATGATGAAGCCCGGCGAAGAGTCAGGGTAGGGGTATGTGGTTGCGTAGGACGTACCTTCAACAACATCCAGAACGGCATAGGCCAATACTTTCGACCCTAAATCGCCGGTCTTTGCGACGTCGGTTATCACGGCGCCGCCTAGGCTGTGCCCGACGAGGATCAGGTCTGGGAGACCGTCCCAGCCCATCTGGCGCTGGGTTTCGCGGACGACGAAGACGAGATCCCGGTTGAGGGTCTCCAGGCTGAGATCGAGAGCGGGTGAGCCGTCTTCTTTCTGAGGGGCCCTGTCGTTCCCCTCGTCGTCGGCGGGGGAGGCTGTCGTCACGACCGTGCTGCCGTGGTGACGAGCATCGAGCGATAAGATGCCTGCTTTGGGGAGGAGCTTGCGGATCTCTTCGGCGCACGCGGCGAACGAAAGACCTGAGGAGCCGGCGCCGTGGTGCATCACGAAGAGCGGACTGCCGGAGTCGGCGGGGGGCGTGAGGTATACATGGTGGATGATGCGCGTGTTGGTGCTGGGGTCGACCTGAGTGAGATGCAGGTCTTTAGTGAAGAACTCGGTCCAGCTTAAGCTTGTTTGAGGGGATCTGAAGAGGCATTAGATGGTTGTGAAGCACTGGCTCTGCTAAATGGATGAACTCCTTACCCGCGACCACCATTTGGTCTGGCGAATAGATTGCGACTGGGTGAAGGGATTATCGTGCCAGTGGATGAAGCGGAGGAGTAGTCCTCATCGTGACTGGACTCTCCCTGCTCCTCGTTGAGGGGGAACATGAAAGAGGACGGAGTCGCGGACAGAATGTTAGGGGGTAGCTGGTGCGAGAGCTTGGCCAATTTCGATTTGGCGAAGGATTTCTGCAAGTCGCTCATGAATGTGATTGGGCTTCTGCTGTCTGACAAGGGGGAAATACTGCCACTGGCAGAGTTGCTATGTAGGTTCGATCAACACAAGGATATGATGCGCAACAGCAGACAACGGAGTGGAGCATGCGGTGGTGCGGTGTAGTCTGAATTGTGGGGATTGAGTGGCCCCGCCAAGAAACAACGTCCTGGATGATGCAGAATGGGCGCAGGCTGGCAATTGTCTCAATTGATTGTTTACAGACAAATTGTTTTGATTGCTGTTGCATAGATTTTCCCTGTCTGTTGCATGGTCAGATAGGCGCAGCAGTGGGGACACGCCGCACGCACCGGTCACTAATGCCGCTTTTGACAGTGGATCTGATTCCAAGCTTTTGGTAGTTAGATGAGATGAGACCCAGGCTTTCGGTTGGATTAAAACGAGTAGATCGTGTGGCAAACAATTGATCTGATCTGATCTGATATTGAGTATGGCATGAGTACTCAGTATGTGTAGAAATCAACAGCCCGCCTACTGAATAAATGGACGAAAGATCACCTGACTGGCAGCTATCTCTTCCCCCCCGCGCCTTCCATTAATCTATTTTCTTTCTCTCTACTACGCCAGATCAATATATCCCTCTTCCTTTCTCTGCCCTCTCTTCCACAGATGCTGCAGTCTCACCTTCAACCAGGAACCTGTCCGTGTACCACAATTCTTATCAGATGTAGCGGTGAAAACTGGCATGAACCCTGCATGACGTCAGTGGGTGGCATTCCTTCTGGGGAAATCCCGTGATATTTCACTCTCCCCCCATTGTTCCCTGTGACGTCAAGTTATCGAGATGCGATCTCCGTCACTGCCCTCTTTTGCTGTTATGCAGCCGTGTTCTCGATTTTCTCTATCGCTTTTCTATCGCTTCGCTTCCACCGTTCATCCGTGAAAGTGGTTACAAACCTTGTGCCGCTTGTACAGTACATACGGTCATTGTCAAAGTCGACTTCGAGTGTTGCGCTATACTGGCATCATGCCGTCACTTAAACTTGGGCGGAACGATAACGCCGAAAGGGAGGAGCGGCCAGACAATGAGGGTGACGATACCCAACATCCAGAGCCCACTGAGCGCTCACGACTCTTGCCGCGCGATCCCCCAGCTTATCTGAGTCCTGATGATCCTGCTGTGAGTGCCCTTCGTTGTGGATAAAGCAAACGAAAATGTGCTACGGCAGTCGGTGTTGCTCACACTTGCCACTTCCAGGTCTCTCCGTACAACCTTTGGAGCATCCGCGCTCTTCGCGGCCTATCCTCGCTCTTTCTGGCCCTGAGTTTCATTTGGTGGACCTTCCTTCTTGTATCACTGTTCGTCAGTCCTCCCATGATGCATAGTCGGGGGTCTGGGTTCTTCAGCTTCGCCTATACAACCCTCACCACCGGTTACCTCGTCATCAGCCTGCTGTTCTTTGCCGTGCCGTCCAAGCCGATGACCGTGTGGGGGATCATTATCGGGGTCTTTCTCTGCATCGATATGATCCTCACCCTTGCTGTACCTCGCATCCGCGTCGAAGAGGGTTGGGTAGGCGTAGCCTCGGTTGTCTGGGCCACATTCATCGCCCTGTACAGTATCTTCCAGAATCGGGCGGTAGAATGGGGCAAGCGTGAAGAGGAAGAGCGTCTCACCGGTCGTCCTGAAAGCCGTCGCCCCCTCCGCGAATGGATCGCCGTGCTACTGCAGACCATCTTCATGGCTATCTTCGGAATCGTCTCTATTCTCTTCACGGCTACACTGATCCTGCGGGCCCGCGACGCCTCTCTCCCTGCGCCAGGCAAGAAGTATCTCGTCAATAGCAATAACTACCAGGTCCACCTCAACTGTGTCGGCAGCCCTAACACAACGACGACTCAATACCTCAATGACGTTCCCACCGTCCTGATCGAAGGCGGCGAAGGTCCTGTCGAGCACACCCTCCAACCTTTCATTGACAACGCCTACCAAAGCGGCCTGGTCCCTCGCTACTGCTACTGGGATCGCCCCGGCTTCGGTTGGTCCGACAACGCACCGTCCCCCTACTCAGCCGGCATGGCCGCCGACGCCCTCTCGGAGGCTCTTGCCCTGGCCGGCGAAGAAGGTCCCTGGGTCCTCGTCTCTGCGGGTGTCGGTGGCATCTACAGCCGCATCTTCGCGAGTAGGCATCTGCTTGAGGTGACTGGCATCCTACTCATCGACAGCACGCACGAGGACTATCTCTCTCAGATCGGCTCCTCAGGCCGCGGCTTTGTCCTTTGGCTGCAAGGAGTGCTCTCACCGCTGGGGCTGGATCGCATTGCCGGCGCGCTGTTCAAGGGTCGCACTCGCGAGGACCGGGTCTACGGCCGCAGCGCCTACCAGACAGGAAAATTCATCAAGGCCAAGCTCCAAGAAAATCTCGTCGCCAAGTCCATGACCGCCTCGGAGGTCCAGACTGCCCGCCACGTCCAGATGTCTGACACGCCGCTGGTCGTCGTCAGCTCGGGCGTCGAGGTCCGCAAAAGCCACAAATGGGCCAAGACGCAGGAGGACCTGACGAAGATTACCCAGAACCTGAAGGACTGGGATATCGTGAGCGGGGCACCGCACGAGGTGTGGAAGACTGTCGAGGGGAGACGCCTTCTGGAGAAGAGACTGGGCGAGTTGCTTGAGCAAGAGTAAGCGGCGTCCGCATCCGATCTCTTGAAAATACTCTCTCCTCAATCCGCGGTTCTCTCCTTCTACGTACTTACGATTTTACTTGCTTTGATTGCAGGGAGGCCTCTTTGGCTTCGGATTCTTTTCTGACGTGGTGCGTTCACAAATGCCTTTGATTCTCTCGATGATCCCTTCGGTCTCTTGTTGTAATCTTGCACCATCCGACGACAAATTGGGCGATCATGATATTACGACTTTTGCCATTCTACTCTGTATAATATTGTCTTTTTTTTGATATGCAACGGTCACTTTCCGTGGAGCGTTAGTATTTCACTTCTGTCATGCTGTTTTCCTTTTTTTGTTCAATTTGACGCATGGGTTTAAAATGTCTATGGCACTCACTGGGAATATGGAATGTGATTTGTCTCTTCTTCGCTTCATCAATAAATTCCACTCCAACATGTTGGTATCATGATTCCGTGTTAACGATTTACCACTACCGGTAGTTACGGACCTCAAATAGGCATGCTACTTACGGCCGAAAAGTGAGTACTGAGTAGCCGAGCTTGGCACCAGCAAGCGAAAAGGGTGCCAGATATGTGGATACGTATGCCTTAAGGGAATGCGAGGAAAGCGCCTGTTGAAAGAGATATTGAGTGAGACTATACCCTAGATACGGCATCATGTAACGACCACTGATGCTTCTCCGGACTAGTAATTGGTCCAATTAACCCCTCTACGAGCGGTTCCCCCCACCAACCAAAAAAACCACTTAACCCCATTGACCCTTTCTAGATCGATCACCAAACCATATCAGCCGGGATCGGGATCGACTAGCGCGCATACTAAAAGGTTGATCGCAACTCGAACTCTCCAAATATTATGGATAATCAAATATTATGGATAATCGAGAGCGAGGGAACACCGGTGAGGGGGGCAGCGGACAGCGAGGCAATCAGGCGGAGCGGGAAAAATGCTGAGACGGGTTTCCGCGGGCTGGAAGGTGTTTCTCCATTCGACGTGGAAGACCAGAATCAATCACTCATTCTAGGCTAGCTCCCTTAAACCTCTTAGCAAGCTGTTCACTTTCTGATTTGGGAGAGGCGGATCGGGAGGAGGCAGAGGCAGAGGGAAAGGGGCGTCGACCGGCTTTTCTCAGGGGGAGAGGGAGCTCAGATCCAGGTGATGGTGATGGTGAGGATGAGGATGGAGGAGGTAGTGTGGCCGTGCTCAGCCAGGGGCGCTTGGGGGGCCGCTCACCACTTTCCTGCAGAATTGTGACCAGTGTCGCCCAGCCGGGGGTGTTGATCAGCTGCATACCGTCGGCGGGGTTGCGGGAGGTTGCGACGCGGCAGAGAAGAGATTCTTCGTCCTGGAGAGTGGGGCGTTGGGTTAGCATAAGACTGATAGTATCGCGATATACTCTTAGTAGGAGAAAGCAGGGCCATACTTTGCTGAAGGTAGAGAGGTTGTGCAGGAAGCACAGCAAATGGAAATCTGATACAGCACGGATTGCCTTCTCCGGGTCACCATGCGAGACAAGCTTCTTCGCGACGTTGCGTAATTCTTGGCTCTCGCCAATGACTTCACGATGCTCGATGGGGAAGGTGCTGTCGGTGAAGAGGGGGGAAGATTCGGTAGGGAAACCATGGGTCAAAGTGACAAGGAGATATTCCACCGGAAAGCTGGGTTTGGCATTCTGTTGAGCACTGACGCCGTATTCGTTGATCTTGCGGTAGAAGACCTCAGGAATATATCGAGATTTGTTCTGCTCATCGTCATCCTCAGACTGGACCAGCATCACAGATGGTTCGGCGGACGGCTCGACGATGTCGGCTCGAACCATCTCGACTGCAGCCACAGATGCTTGGTACGCGCTGACAGTGATCGCACCTTCTTCGTCTCCACTGAGGACACACGTGACGAAATTGGAACCAAACCGGCCCGTCCGGCTCCATTTTGTTGCCTTGGGGTGTTGAGCTTGTAGGCGCGCTGCGAAAGCGATCTCGAGGGAAGAAAGATAGTAGGAATCAATGTGCCGCTTGCACACTACTGATCCGTCTCCATTACCCGCATCAAGCAGGTCTGTAAATATCACTCCAATCTTCTCCATGCCACAAAGCCGCGCCACCTCATCGACCTCCTTCTCATCGGGCCACTCGTGCAGCGTGACCCCGTCAACCTCATCAACCTGTGGGGGCTCATAAATGGCCTGCACCACTGCTTTGACGCCCAGGGGAACCTCCGCGTATTCTTCGTAGGTTCCGTACAGGAATCCCAGCCGTTGGGCCCCGGATTTCCGCCAAAAGTTGAGCAACGAGTTGACAAGCTCCGAGTGGGCAAACTCCACATGGTCGACCATCCGGAACTCTTGCGGCTGTAGACTGATGGCACTCGGCTGGCACTTGGTGCAAATGCCCTCCGGCCATTGAGGATGTCCGGACGGGCAGTCTCGTCTCACGCGATAGTAGGGTTCATTGAGCGGGGGCATGAAAGAGCTTTTGAGCTCCGCTTTGTTGGTGGAGGCGTTGAGTTTTCGTAGGTACGAGTGGAAGGAGAGGTGCTTGATCTTCTTCTCAGCCAGGTATTTGGGGTCATATGGCTCGAGCGGCATGCAATAGTCACACATGCCCTTGGGACCGTGTCGACACATCTTCATATCGCGGGGCCGATGGATCTTGCCGTCCTTCTTGTCCAGTGCATCATCGAGCGGTGATTGTTGCACCACATCCCATGGGTTCTTGATCACAGTGGTTGGGGAGGTCGGTTGCGGGGGGCGGAATGTGACGGTATCGTTCTGTGGAACCGGTGCTCCGTTCAAGCGTCGGGATGTTTCGGTTGAGGCAGGAACTCCGTTGACGGAGCCATTCTGTTGCCCTTGGGTCTCGTTGTAACCGAGATAGAGCTTGTCTCCGTGTCTAAGATTCCCGGCAGAGAAAGTTATTAGCCGCTGTACTCGGCAGTTGAGACTACCTGGCGTGCTGCGGGTACTCGATGCAAACTCACTTGAGACCGACTCTCTCGATCGGCACCCCTCCAAGTGTGCTCAGAAGCCTCTCTTCACCACCGGTACCTATGGGCTTGTTGGAGAGGGCGATAGATGCGGGATCTGTGCTGGAAGGTAGATGTTCAACAATCTAAAGTGGGGTCAAGGTTAGTAGTCCCTTCATGCTGATGTTATCTATTCTTTCTCGACGATGAGTCTTCACCTGCTGCTGAAGAGTAGGAAACAAGTCCTGAGGGCTGACTGTCAGCCGGAACTGGCCGTTGCGGCTTTCGAATCTCAAAATGATCGACCGGGACGCCATGATGGCGAGAGAGGCACCAGAGGAGGCAGCGGGCGGAGGCTTGGAACAAAGGTTTCTCGATTTTCACTAAGCTCAGGCTTCACTGCTTCATCGTATTCATAAGGTCATGTCAGGAAATCAGGAAAAACTGAGGCTGGAGATGGATCCGAGAGAACGAGGAAGATAGTCGGAGAAGAGGAAGCTCTCCGGCGGGCGAGGAAGGCAGCGAAGCTCCATCGTCATCGGCCACCGTAAGCTACCCCTCACCGCCTTGATCCTTGTCAGGAACTGCCGCTTCCCAACTCTCTAGTACTCCGTATTCTTTGCCAGATCCTTTTTACATCCTCTCCGTCATAAAACAGGCAATAGCATATGTATATACCGAACATATTATCATTCATTCTCTATTTAGACTGAAGTCTGGTGTATCATGTGAATTATGTACTTGAAATTCCCTCCCTTTATCACCCAACGCCATACCAACCGAAACAGAAACAAAAGCAAGCCCAGTTACAGAGCAGAGAACCGGATAGGATATTAAGCAATTCAGTTTTCTACTGGATGACACACTTCTTGGGCAGGCCACAAGGTCCCTCATTGCTCTTCTCCTCCCGGGTCGCGGCCTGGGTGCTTTGTCCGTTTTGTGCAGGTTTCGGCGCGGGCTTCTCCGTCTCGGCCTTCTGCTGCGGCTGGGCCGCGGCAGGCGACTCCGACTGGGTCTGCTCGCTACCATGTAGTCAAGCGAAGGTGTGCTTGGAGACGTGCTCGTAGAAGGCCTTGCCCTGAGCCTCGGCGATCTCGAGCTCGAGAGCGGAAGGCTGGCGGGAACCGTCGGCACCCTGATAGTGATGTTAGTGGATGCACCAGGGAGGCATCATGCAATCCGCCGGGGCATAGTGACTTACAGCGAAGGTACCGGCACCCCAGGGGCTGCCACCGTGAACCTCGTTGAGGTTGGCCAGCTGGCCGAAGACGGTCTTGTAGCCGAGAGGAACGTAGACGAAACCGTGGTGGGCGAGGGTGCTCATGGAAGCAAGCGCAGTGGACTCCTGACCGCCACCCTGGGTACCGGTGGAGATGAAGAGACCGGCGTACTTGCCCCAGTAGCCACCGGTAGCCCAGATTCCACCGGTCTGGTCCCAGAAAGCCTTCCACTGGGCAGGGAAGTTACCGTAACGGGTGGGGATACCGAAGAGAACAGCATCGTACTCGAGCAGAGTCTTGGGCTCAACGACGGGGTAGCTGGACTTGGGAGGAGCGTGCATCTTAGCCAGGACCTCTTCGGGAAGAGTCTCAGCGACCCTAGGTGAATTGTGTCAGCGACTATCAGATCACTTGGCTGATGCCTTGCCTGGATAATAACTCACTGGTAGATGTCGGCGGAACCGCCAGCAGCCTCAATACCCTTCTTCTCGGCCTCGGCCAGCTGCTGGATGTGGCCGTACATCGAGTACTGTATGATCAACCATCAGTGACGATGTTCCGGCTTCCTGAGGAACGACCAGGACGAATTGAAAGTTCTCCCATTGTATGATGGAGAAAAGATGTCAACAGATTGGGGAAGTACATACGAAGACGATAGCGATCTTGGGAGCCATGGTGACTGTTTGTGAGGGGATGATTTCTGGAAGGATGGCAGAAAACGGTCTTTGGATACCAGGACTGATGAGAAGAAAGAGGGGCCGGTCAAAGAGGGGCAGAGAAGCAGCAATTATATATTCAGAATTGGGACCGGCGAGACCGTGAGATAAAAACGCCCCTCTCTTTCCCCCCCCCCCTCATTCAGCAAGTACTGTACGTACAACAAACAGTTGCTGCGCAGCTACGGGCAAAAGAGGTTCAATTGCTTTGGCAAGCATCCGTAATCGATGACAGACCCTGGGCCCAAGAGCTGGTGATTGGCAGTGAGCAGTTGCAAGTGGGACGAGCGGGGAAGCCCAGAGAGCACCAGGCCAATCAACAGTGGCAGAGCCATCTTACGGGACGGTGACAAATCGCGCTTAAATTCCGATTGCGCATTGGAAATTCAGAACCTCCTGGAAAAGTGGACGCGGTGGAGTTCATTGCCCGTATTGTTAATCTCTGAATCAGCCATTAGTACAAGGTAGGGCTAGTCTTCATACCGTAACACGCCTAGAAGTCTACCAGAGAGAGCCAGTAGGCTCCAGCTGCACCATATCCCCTTTCGGGATACGGAGGAAGAGGCCCGAGGTGGTCGGATGTGTTGCAACTTCACAGTACACTAGTAGCAATAACCATTGCAATTGATTGCTTTTGGGATCCATCATAAACTCTCTCTATTCCATTCATTTGAACTATGTTGATACAACTGCTTCTATCCTTACTAAGTTATTAGACAATGCTTTCTATACATTTCAATAATCATAGCTAATTAGAGAAGGAGGCCATTCCGGGCATCATGGATTGGCATTCTTATCTGAGATCAGCTCTAGACCTTCCCTCGCTCATCCCAGCACGCAATCAGCCCATCAGACCATCTTATCTGCATTCTATACGAACTGCAGACCCCGACCCTAGAAATCATTGTACTGCACCGTACATAGTTACTGAATAAGCCCTTGAAATTCATAAATATAAGATTTCGTATTCGGCTAAACGTGTAGCCATTTCCTCTGGCTCTTATATCTGCAAAAAATACATACATGACCTGCCCGCTTTGCGTCGTAAAATAAATCAAATCATCATCAAATGCCACGGATGGGTATCTTCACAAGGTAGCAAACTGGAATCTCACGGAATTCTCCCCCTGATAGAGCATCGTCTAGCCACGCCCACGCCCACGGAACCGGCCGCGCATGAAACCTCCGCCGCGGCCCCGTTCGCTCCGCCATTCGCGCTCCCGCTCTTTCTCCTTCTCCTGTTCCTCGCGGATCAGCGCCCGCTCGCGCTCCAGGTCCTCCTCCGTCTTCTCCACGCGCATCGTAGGCCGCGGGAGGTTCTCCGACCACCGGGGGTGCGCATCGGTGCAGCTCTTGCCTTCCGGGCAGAAGCCCGCCAGGTAAAACGGGCAGAGGCGGCGGCGCACATGTCGTTTGGCACACAGCGGTCCCAGCTCGCAGAAGCCCCGGTCGTAGTGTTCGCACGGCGGCAACCGGGCTTCCTCCCGAACGTGTTGGTAGAGACAATCGTCGCCATTTGGACAGTAGCCGGATCGAGAGAAGGACTGGCACTCGGGCATGCGCCGCAGGTTGTATTCGTGGAGGTACTCGCATTTGATGCCTTTTTTGCAAAGCCCCTTGAGAAAGTGTTTGCAGACCAGGGATCCATGCGTGGTCGAGGGCGCCAGTCCCGAGGCTGTCGTCGTTGACGTGGTCATGCGTGAGGGCGTAGGGTGTCGGTCCGGGCAGGCTGGCCCTAGCGGACAGTGGCCCTCGTGGAAGGCCTTGCATTCGGGAACGTCGCTGGCGAGGCCGAATCCATAGCTACTGCGCAGAAAAGGAATGAAGGAGAAATCGTTGAAGTTCGGGTCTCGAGGAGTATCGGGCGACAGGATGCGCGAGGCAACATGGCCGACGTCAGTCGCCATTGTATTGAGCTTGCCAGAGTATGTGCGAAAGAGCTGTCAATGGATAAGAAACGGAGAAGTAGTGTAATCTGGACGAGGGACCACTACTCGTGGTCAATGTAAAAGTTTCGAGAGATAGACCAGTCCTGCTGAGGAGTGCTGCCGTGTGTGAGAACGAGTTATGAATCGTGAGCTAGGAGTTGGACAGGGAGGAATGTGAGCAACAAAGACAAAGACAAGAAGAGATCAGCCCGAGCGACAGAGCGGCAATATTCTTTGAGCAGTAGGCGGTGGCAACAGCTCGAGCAGATGACTCAGCTCCTGCATGATGGAACCAAGTCGAAGTCGAAGTCGAATCCAGAACCAAAACATTCCGATCGGACAGGTCATACATTCTACCGTGATCAGACAGGATGATACTTAGCCAGAATGCGATAGCTCGTCCGCCCCAGCTGTCTGGGGAAATCTTCCCCGGAGCAGCGTCGGGCTGCCCCTGCATATGACGAGCATCAACATCGTTGGCACGGCCAGCATTACATGGTCGGCTACTCCGTACTCTGAGCCTACAAGCTTCAAGACAGAATCACTGCTTGGAATCTGGGGTAGAATCAGGATCCGCCCGGTTGTGAGAACAACTGTTTCTCTTGTGCTTCTCGTATCTCATGGGCACTTCCACCCACCCCGTGCGACCGCTGGTCGCTGTGAGCACCGGAAGATACGTCGTCTGCCACGCTAAGATCGCCCATGTCATCCGTTGTCTCACCCCTCCAACCGAGATTTATGCCTTGGGTATAGCTCATATCTCTCTCGGATCATGGTTCCTCCCTTCGGTGGCTGTGTTTATATCACCGCGACAGTCAGCATATTCACCTTGACCAAGGATCACCCCTATAAACAATTGCGACGGTGGCATTCGAAGTGCACCGGGGTTAAGCCCGAGTATCTCCAAGACAGCAGTAAAACCATTAAATGCATTTCTCCACGGAATCGATTATTCAGTCTGGTTCGGAACGACCGATCGAGATACCTGTGGACTACTCCGTACTCGTAGCAGTGAGGGAGGGAGCGATGGCGGATGAGCAGCGGGCCATGTCGCCCGAGAGCACTACTATTACATGCACAACTGCAATGCTGATTCGGCGCCGGAGCTCAGTAATCGGTCGATCCTTTTCTCATGGCTGCATGGGATCAGTCGCATTTTCTTGTCTTTGATCCACCCGGCATCGAGGTATTGGCACCAGGCCAGGGAGTGAAGGAGCCCAAATGTCATCAAAACAGGCTCTGAGCGTTGATGCACTGAAGATAGCCTACGGAGTTGTTGTGCTGAAGTCAGAACGAAGCCTCGAAGGCAGCCAATGACCCGCCCGATGGCTTGAAACGGACGTTCAACCTGGAACTGTCATAGGCGGGGAGGGAGCCAGCCTGGAGACGTTCGGACCGTGTCTGGGGCTGATTCTGATCCGACGAGCCAACACGAAGTAAGAGAGAGTGAGTGAGAGACTTGCGACTGGGGCCTGAAACTCTGCCTGTTCTGCCTGTTCTGCCTAGATGGGCCGTGCGATTGGTTCTACTTCTGGGCATCATCATCATCATCATCATGGTGGTGGTGGAGGTGGAGGATTTGTCCGCCGCCGCATTGACTAACTATTAAGAAGCCCTAGAAATAGCGTACCCGGACTCTCTAAGACTACCTTATTAGTACCAGTAGTAATGGATTCACAAAACGGGAGAAGAACTAACTTGAATGTACCTTACGGTAGGTCAAGTACTAACTTAACTACTACTACTACTACTACTAACTAACTAACTCCTGCGGTTGCCTTCTTTGGGAGAGTCTGTACTTCTGTCGCTTCGCTTGTTCGGTCTTGCTGTCTAACACTGACCCTTTTTTCCTTCCACGTCCGTTTCTGTCTTATTCTTGCCCGGTTCGAGTGAGGGATTTCAATCTTCCAGAAAAATCGAACAGACGAATCGATAGGAGCCGAAAAAAAGAAGAAGAAAAAAAAAAAGCAAAATCCAGATAACTGACATGAAGTCCTGGGTATAGGAGGCTCGGACATAATATATTTGTCCAGACGACGAGCGAACTAAAGGAAGTCAAGAAAACAATCACTTCGTCCTCTCACTGCCCATATCCCACACACGTGACGCCATTCTCATCCAGTCTATTCGTCTTGATCCTTCACCTTCCTTCTCGTCACATTTCGGTCTGTGTCTCGATCGGATCCAAAGAGGCTATAGTTATCTATTGTGGGCTTGCTAAGCTCAATATCAAATTTTCGCGCATCCTCCTGGCCCTCCTAGGATCCCCCCACCTCGATATGTTCTCTAATTCCGCACTATTCCCACACTGGCGTCGCAAAGCAGCCGAACGTTCCAGCAGCAGCTCTTATGAGGTGCCGTTCTATCTGAATGCAGCTTACTATCCCAATTGGCGCATTTACCAGAAACAGTTCCCTTCATCGCTGCGACTGGGATTTGTCTCGCATATATTCTACGCATTTGCCTGGTACTAGTAGCCACTCAGCACCCACATCTGGCCCTCGGGCCCTGAACCCATACACACAGGATGTTAACCAATTTTGCTTCTCTTCTCATAGGGTTAAAGAAGACGGTACCGTCTATGTGAGTACTCTTCCGCTCTCGCTTTGTGGGTTGTAAATTGACTCAATCCAGTTGAGCGACGAATGGGCCGACACACAGATGCCCGTGGACGGCACAACCGGCTGTCTCCGGGCTTTCGCCCAGCTAAAGCCAAAGTATCCTAAACTGAAACTCATTCTGTCTATCGGTGGCGCCGGCAAGGGAAGTGAGAACTTCTCGCGCGTGGCTCGCAGTCAATCCTGTATGGAGACTTTTGGGCGGACTGCCCGAGCACTGGTGGACGAGTACGGCCTGGATGGTATAGATGGTAAGCTTATTCTTTGTTGCACTGCTCTCTCTAACACCATTCAACCCTGCTTTCCACGCAAAGTCCTTGCAACTCCATGCTAAGAATGGCTCAAAAAGTGGACTGGGAACACCCCACCGACGCCCATCAAGGCGCCGACTATATCCGCCTCCTGGCCCAAACCCGCAAGTCCTTCCCGACCCCCCGCTACCTGGTAACATCCGCCCTCCCCGCCTCGCCCTGGTTCCTGCGACACATCGACCTCTCCAAAGCCCAATCCTACCTGGACCTCCTCAACATCATGGCCTACGACTTCACGGGACCCTGGACGCCGGAAACCGGCCACCACGCGCAACTCACCGCCCCGCCGAGTAGTTCCAACGCGAGCAGCAACACCCTGTCCTGCCAGTCCAGCATCGCATACATCCTCAACAACCACCCCATCGACCCCAAAAAGCTTCTGCTGGGGATCCCGGTCTATGGCCGGTCGTTCCTGGGTTGTTCTGGCCCCGGTCAGCGGTATGCGGGCTGCGGGGGCGAGGACGGGATCTTCGATTACTGTGACCTGCCCCGGCCCGGTGCGCGGGAGGTCGTGGACGAGGAGGCCGGCGCGGCGTATTGTGTCGGCGGCGTGGATGGCGGGTTCGTCACGTACGACACCCCGCGGACGGTGCAGCTGAAGGCGAAGTTCGTGACGCGGATGAAACTGGGGGGACTGTTCTACTGGCATATCGGTGGGGATAAGAGTGGGGGAAAGGGAAAGAGCTTAGTAGAGGTTGGATATGAGAGTCTGCATGACATGTGAGTTTGTTGCCTCGGGTGAGAGTGAGAAGAGAGACCGTGAGAGAGGAAGAGAGATAGCGAGGGGGAGAAGAGATGTGCGAGCATTGGGTTCTGCTGTGGCTTTCTCTCGCTCTCTCTCTATCTGCATTCCTTGTATGTTTATTGGTATACCCTGCGAGATCAGAAGCTGGTAGTCGTGATATTTATCCCTAGTAGATTGGAAGCAACCAAAGACTATTTTACACCGGCATCTCAGACCACACCCCAATCAGTCCAGCCTGTAACCCCCATATACCAAGTATAAACTCGAACCCAAATAACACCTCCCATCTCCCTAGATACCATCAATACCAGACCCAATAAGCATGAGCATGGATAGGGGTGCACCCCGGATCTCATTCCCCAGGTGTGTGGGGGGTGGGGTGAGCAGTAGGAGGGAAGGGGGCGGGGCGGGGACGGAAGAAAGAAGAAGGGGGAGGGGATAAGGGAGGGGAGAAAGATTGTTCTAGGCGTGGACCTCCACACCATTAATCATAGACTACTACTTAATACTTTGACAGCAGGCTACGGCGAGGGCGGAGGCGAACACGCCAAAGACTAAAGTTCACCAGAGATTCGGGTCGATGATGATCGAGGAGATCCACAGAGAAAGGATTAAGGTTTGAAGTTGCTCATCAACGGTTGTCGAGTCTGTGCCCCGGTGGACAATGGGCCAGCCGGTTCAAGTAGGATACGCACGCGGTCATCTGACGTGCAAGCGAGAGGAAGAGGAATCACATCAACGGGGGGCAGTGTTTCCCTTAGGTGTGTGTTTAGATGACAGGTCTCTCAATTCATCCTCATGGCAGCAAACCTAATTATATAGCCATTGAGCATAGATACCATTTCACTCATCAGTCCTCATCATGACACAAGATACCACAAAAAGGAAAGCATTAATGTAACATATACAGGATAATCATTTCAAGCAAGATAGACGGTCCCCATCTCAACATTTCATCTCCTAAGGATTCCTAAAATATCCCAAGGAAGCGATGACCCCAATCTAAAGAATGCCTCCCAAGGCCTTCGTCACGTTCAGCTCTACGCTGAGCGTGTTAGCAGCTAGAGCTTCGGCGAAATACGATAGTTCCTCGCCGTTGTAGACGCTCGAATTACCGACGATGTCAACGGGAAGCATCAAGGTGGGATAACTGCCAAGCATGCCTGCCACGGTGAGGGTGCTAACGTTGGCAGTCATGGGAAGGGTATTGTTGCCTGGGCGGATGGTGAGATCGGACAGGTAGGATTGGCCAATAGCAGTGCCGTTGACGGATAGGTCAAGGGTGACATTGCCCTAGTGAAAGCATTAGCTATTGTAGACAGCGCGAAGTCAATGATAGTCTGAGGCTGGGTTCTAACCAAAGTGAGTGTGAAGGGCGAAGGGTTGGGAATGTAGACGGTCCCTTTGCCATTATTTCCACTCTTCGTGGAAGTCGAGATGGTAAGATCGACTAGCTCAAACCCCTTGAGCTTGTTGAGACCTGCTACCTGTGAGCCAATGCGT